CATTAAAGTTCCATGGAACCCCATAATGGCCCTTTTAACCCCCATCCCTCAACAAAAAACGGGGAGAATAAGCCAACCAGATGGAATGGCCATGCTGGGGGCGTTTTTTGGAGGAAGTCCTGGAGCAAGGCCAGCAAATTCTTTGACTAGCTTTGCTGTATCAATGCGCACATAAATGACATAACGATTCTATATTTATCAAGCTACTGAAGAAGTGACTTCCTCAGGTCACAACGGATTTCTTGAATTGTTGCGAAACGCCTATGGATGATCCGCAATCAGCACTCTACTGGAGTGGGACTTTCGGGCACATCGGTACTGAGCTATGAGGAGTCGAAGGTTCGTGTTGGTGGTGGTCCTGGTGACCAGGTGTTGTCCTATATGGAGATGAACTACATGACCCTGCAACGCGAACAGTACGGTTTGAGAGTACTCGCCGTGCTATGGATCTGATTTCCCCAGGGAGTGAGTGGGGTCTGTCAAGGGACGGGAAATTGCCGAGGCTCTTGGAAAACGAAATCAAAGGAAGCGAATGCAAGCTTTCTGTGTATATTGACAGATAGAAAGCTCCACCAGTCAATTTGGGTGAACATGCGGACGAATCTGGACAAATCGTTTGTTGTGTTTACTCAACTCACAATGAACATACCACGTTAACCCCAACCTTCGTCCGCGTGAAAGTGCGTACTGTGTTGAACAGATGCTGAGGAGTTGAAGCCAACTTGCGAGATATATGAACGAGTATAAAATGCTTGTCTCGATGATACGAGTTGCTTACCCCACGACAATATCAAGCTTCAGATCTGATGCCATCAGCTTGGGCGTCCAGATGGCGTGCGACTTGGTTAACGAGGACCTGAGAATAATCCGGTGTTTATATTTTCAGAATGACTGGCATGCGCTGGAATACTAGCGTCAGACTCCAAATCGCCGTTACCCACCTTAACAAGCAAGGTTTCTATGCGTTCACAGATACAGAGTCCAAGAGATGATCCCATATCAGCTTTTTGTTCTGCTATTCGGGTGCATATGACATTCAATTTGCTCTGGAATTAATAATTTAGTCGACCATGTCGGACGATGTGGCGACGGGAACATTCAATATCGACCACATACCCCAGAAGTACTGACTCTAATCCATTCATAAAGTGGAATGCAATTCCATTTAAGAGAATTAGTGGTCTAGGCTCTGTATCAGAGATAGTAAATAACAACAACACCGCCGTGGCATACTGCAAATGACAAATCATTGAAAATATCGAGGGGGTCGAGCTATCTGCTTAGGTACCTACCCTACATAACTCTTACGTCCCAAACAGAAAACAAGGTATGCACAATAGCCAAGTTCATCAAGATGCGAAAAATCCCCTGAGATATGTGACCGTATTTAGGCACCGGGAAATTGACGGATGCTGGCGAAATATATTCGGGTTAGGGCTGAGTTCCAGATTGAGTGTCACTTGCCACAGAATCTGTTCTTGTCCATTATTTGGGCTATAGTAAGTAAATAGAAAGCAGCAACGGCAGAAGGGAACTGAAAACTATAGTCTATCCTAAACCAGATGGCCAAGTGGCGTGCTTGATTTGGCACTGTATCCATATCGGCAACTAGACATAATGGCAAATATTAAGGGTTGAACTAAGTTGAACAAGACGCTTAATATGTAAGAGCTCATTGGACAACCTAATTAATGCGAGCGTAGATAATTGATTTCGCGCTAGTTAACTATTTCGTCTGCTTGATCCAATCGCATGTTGTCCATCCATTTAAAGAATCACCAAATTCGATTTCAAGCTGAACCGAGGCGTGCGTTGTGCTTGGAATATCCGCATACCATATACTCGCTTGCCCCCGCCCCCCATTTCCAATGCATTCCCCCATTGTATGAATTCATTCGTGTCACTGAAGCGTGGTGGAGATGCCTCAGTGGTCCTCTGACCTAAGTTTGTCCATTTCTTGGCGAGCGACGTGGACGACTGGCACGAAGTGATAAACCGCAAGCTCGATGATTTCTCCATGAAGCTTCATCCCAAAAATGCCAGAATACGCCGAAGGGTAACCCACTAGTTGCATGGGCCCAACGCCATCAAGCATGCCCGGCTGTACAATACAGGCCGAAAGCGGCGCACTCTGACACTGTCCGTGACAAAACATCTGAGATACCAAATACATGTATATGGAGATGGATGTGGCAGTACAAACCAAGTTCTACAACAAGGTACTGCATACCACGGATATGCAAGCAACGAAGGCAGAATTACCAACACCATGTGATGCAAATAGCAGGACATGGTGCAAATATGCCATGAGAACGAATACCAATGATGAGCCGATAACTATTGGACCCGGGCTGGATATAGGCGCTCTTTGTATTATGATGAGGTGTCAAAGGAAGCACTAAACCGAGGCGAGTGTTTCCCTCTATCTGCTGGATGATGCATTTCTTTTTTGTTGGATTGTTTCTAGGAGCACCCACTCCGGCTTCGTATTGAAGATCGGATGTACATGGCTTCTCTGGAAGTACAGAGCGAGCCGGTTCTTTCTCCTTCCCAATGCCATTATATTGGTATCCCTGTCTCTGTAATGTCGTATAGAGTACTGATTGTGGAATATGAGAAAGAGTTTGCCCCAGGGGCAGGGAGAGGACTGTAAATAGGGTGATGTCATGTGAGATAAGAATCACGTGCTGCGATAAGCGTATCTCCGTATCACGTCCGGGGATAGTATCGACCATTGACCACACTCCTTTCTTCTTGGTTAATTCGTTTCCTGGGGCGAGACAGTTCAATTATACTCACTACTGACTTATATACTCATCCTCCCTTGCGTTCACAGAATGGTCCTGTTTTAAATCGTCCCGTGACTAGGGAGATCCACAGACCTGCGGTCAACTGAGTTGGTCAGGCTGATAATCACCATTCCATTGATAACCGACGGACTCGGTTATAAATATAGCGCCGGGCTAGTTAGATTGCCTTATATTCGAGGGTAACCGTTGTCTTGTGTCCCACTTCCTGGCCTTTACGCTGTCTCTCCGAACCTAACCACCGAACCATTGCATAGGGAGGCAAGGAATAATGCCAGGTTCCAATGCCCAGGTAGTTGATAAACGGGACTTCGATGCAAATCGTTCCCTACTTCGTGATGATACAGATTCCGGTGGAGAGGAAGAAACGAGATCTCGATTGTCACAAAGCACTTGGGATAGCAACGATGGACTTCTGAACAACGTGGTCGAGGAGATTGTCGAGCGGGATAGACAGAAGATTGCGAGAGAGGTGGTTCGGGTGGCTAGCTTTGCCTGGGGTGTTATAAGTTGGTGAGAATTCCTTGTGATTGTCGTTGAAATCTAGATGGGTGCTGACTTGACTAGTCTCGGGGCTGGTAGTATCACGGCGTTTTCTCTCTACGGTCCGTTACTCCTCACGCGTCTTCATTATACCCAGCTACGCATTAATGCCGTCTCAATTGCCGCGGAGGTTTCCATGTACCTCCCCGTGCCGTTATTTGGATATCTCTGTGATCGATACTCGCCATCGCCGTTGTCCCTGTTCGCCGGTATAGTGTTCTGCGCTGGCTACCTGCTGGCTGCATTTACATATCAGAGTGGCCCTCCTCCAGATGCAGGTGGGGACGGCTGGCCTTTCTGGGTGATGATTGTGGCATTTATTGCTATTGGAACAGCTACGAGCTGTTTGTACCTTGCTGCTGTGACGACATGCGCAAAGAACTTTGGCCGCGGCAAACACAAGGGGATCATGCTTGCTGTCCCGATTGCAGGATTTGGCCTGAGTGGTATGTGGCAAAGCCAGGTGGGAACGTACCTGTTGTATGAACCGCGTGAAGATGGGAGTCGGGGAGACGTCGATGTCTTCCGGTACTTTTTATTCTTAGCACTATTGCTGCTTTGTATTGGGGTCATTGGCACGTTTGGACTACGGATCGTCGATGACGAGGAGGAAAAGTATATCGATGAAACAGTCGAGGAGCTAGAGCGCAGTGGCATTTTAGGGCAAGAAGGTGGATTCTTCCAGACGAGAGAAGAAGTCCAGGCTTCGTATGGCACATTTGCTTCTACAGACGGCGCTGATGAGGAGCGACAGTCGTTGACGATGTCGGATGAAGAGCGAGAGGAAAGAAGGCGCGAGAAGGAGCACGAGGAAGAAGAACGGAAGAAGAAAAACTGGCTACTGAATTATGAGACGAGGTTGTTTCTCAAAGATCAAACGATGTGGTGGCTTGCTCTGGGCTTCTTCTTGGTGACTGGCCCGGGAGAAGCTTACATCAACAACCTGGGCACCATCACCCAAACATTAACACCGCCATCATACCCTCCCAACGCCCCTCCTCCGGCAGGTCTACCATCAACACACGTCACAACAGTAGCCCTGACCTCAACAATCGCCCGCCTCCTAACTGGCTCCCTAACCGACTTCTTCGCCCCTAAAGCAACCCACCTTTTCCCAACCAACCCCGAAGACGGCGCCGCCCGACCCTCAACTCTCCCTGCATCCCCCAAAGAGAACCGCCCTACCTTCTCCCGAATGACCTTTCTCCTCCCCTCCGCCATCCTCCTAGCCCTAGGCTACCTTCTCCTCGCCTCTCCCTTAATAATCGCCCACCCATCCCTATCCCACATAACAACCGCCCTCATCGGCCTCGGCTATGGCAGCTCCTTCTCGCTCGTTCCCATCATCATCTCCGTCGTTTGGGGTGTCGAGAACTTCGGCACGAACTGGGGTATTGTTGCTATGGTTCCTGCGGGCGGGGCAGCGGTTTGGGGTGTTGTGTACTCGGGTGCGTATCAGGATGCTATCAACCGTAGTGGGAGTGAGGATGGACAGTGTCATGGGTGGAGGTGCTTTGGGTTCTGGGCTGTGGGGTGTACGATTAGTGTTAGTATTGCCGTTGTGGTTTGGAGTGTTGCGTGGAGGGTTTGGAGGAGGAGGGGGGTCTCTGTTTAGTTTTGGATATTCAGGGTTCAAGATTGGTATATACACGCCAGACTGTTTTGCATTGCGGGTAGTATTGAATATTGCATTGGATATTTTATCATTCATTAAATATGTGCCATGTTATATCTCAGTAGAAGCCGGGTCAAGCCCCATAAACACCTTATACAACCGCCTACTAACCGCCGGTCCAATCCTCGAATCCGTCAGAGCACCGTTTTTATTCGCCGATTTCTACATTATTAGTCCAATCCACTCATCTGCATCCAAAGGCCAAAGGGGTGAAAACAAACCTTAACATCCTCCAACAACCCAACCCCCCCATCCTTATCCTTGAAACCTCCAACCAAATCGCTCACACTCGGATACCTCTCCACAACCCCATACGCCATACTCGCAGTCACCCGATTAACCTCCTGCAACATCTTCACAAACGTATCCCTCTTATCTTCCCCCGTCTTGACCTGCCCGACATCCATACAGAACGCAGAGTCATTGCCCCGCATGAGTTCGAGACGGTAGGGAACCGTGGATATATGTTCTGTGAAGGTTTTTAGCCATTCGGCTGATTCAGGAGATGCGGTGGTGTGGTGGATTAGGGCGTTGTGGTGGATTTGTAGGGAGAGGAGGGCGTCTTCAATGGTGTCGTCGGATACTAACGGTAGCTCGGGTCGGTTTTTGCGGCGAGAAGTGGATGTGGCAGTGGAGGGGTCGAGTTGGCGGCGGACTTCGGCTTGGTAGGCGCGGTTGCGGGCGCTTTGGTTCTTGCGCATGAAGGCTGCTAGGCCTTCGAGGAGGTAGATTGGTTTGGCGTCGGTGTGGGTTTGTTTGAGATGCAGGACGTGCTTTTGTAAAGCGGTGGGGGAGTTTTCGGGGGCTGTTACCATGGACACGAATTCATGGGCTGTTAGGAGGCATAAGACGTGTTTTTCTGGTTCGATGCGGAGTGGACATGGTTCCCAGTATCCTAGGGTTTCGTTGTATGTCGCTTGAACTTTCCGTCGCCATTTGACAAGGCCTCGAGTCGAGCCCTCGATGAACGTATATTCGACACCTAGCCGGTTCATGAATTCTACTGCCTGATTTCCCACATTAGATCCTTCCAATGACTTATCAAAATCGATAATCATCTCGGGTGTTGATTCCTTCTTGTCAACCTTGGATTTGTTGACCTGCGCCAGGTCCGCAGCCAACTGCTTTTCTTTAGCCTTTTCTTCTTTGGTCTTGGCTTTGCGTTCTTTTTCAGCCTCGCGCTCGCGTTCACGTGCTGCTTTATTTGCTTCGCGGGAGCGCGCTTTGCCTTCTTTGTCTTGTGTCGGTTTGGTAGTTGTTCTTCGTTTGGGTTGTGGTGGTTCGAAGTCCTCGACATCTATATCCACTTCCTCCCCCACAGTAGTTGTTTCCCCCTTCCGCGAGCGAGCCGTGGTCTTTTTCGTCGTCGCACTTGCGCTGTCGGTCTTCCTCCCAAGGTTAGCCAGTAAACTCGCCGTCCGATTTGAAAATGAAGCAGTGGGTTTCGGCCGTTCAGCCATCTCCATCAACTCGTCCATATCCGACATCCGACTGAAGAGCTGGTCACTGAAGTCTTCTATCTCGTCACCTCTTCTGCCTTTGCCTTTATCCTGGCAATTCCTAGTATCGTGTCCATTGTAATCGTCACTGTCAATCGTAATCGTATTCTCCCTCCGCTGAACAGCCGTCTTCTCTACCCCAGTTCCCCGCGGCTTCCGAGCAGAAGACGTAAAAACAATCGGATCCGAATCAACTGCCCACCTCGACCCCATCCCCACCCCTAAGCCCTTATCCTTGTCCCCGTCCGTAACCCTCGTCACAGGACTACCTATTGACTCCATCTCCGGCGCAGGCGGTAACCCAAACTCATCAAAATCATCCGAGAACTTGAACGGATTCGAATCCCTCGTATTCAGATCCCGATTCGGTGATTTTGATATCGTCATCGGCCCGATTGACGAGGGTATCCCCAACTCATCAGAGAGCTGAAACGGATTGCTCCTCGCGCGCGGATTCGGTGATTTAGATGGTGATTTCCTGCCCGCTGATGAGGGTATTCCCAGCTCATCAGAAAACTGAAACGGATTCGTATTCCTATTCGGGTTCGGGTTCGGCGATTTAGACCTTGTCATCGGTCCAATGGACGAAGGTATTCCTAACTCATCTGAGAACTGAAATGGATTCGACTCTCTCGTATTCAGATTCAAGTTGGTATTTGGAGATCCAGACCGGCGCTGCTGGCCTGACGGTGGTACATTAAAATCGAACTCATCGCTAACACGCCGTCTCTTGCTCGAATTTTTATCATCTAGCGTATCGCGTGCGCTTGTGAACGGGGAGGAGAAATCATCGGCATCATCAGAGAACGTAAATGGCGGAGGAACTGGTCGAGGTGCTCTGGTATTCGTTGTGGTAGCAGAGAACGGCGGGCTGGAAACGAACACTGGTGGTAGTGCTCGGGACCGTGGTTTTGGTTTCTCGGCTGGTGCTGGGGGTGTTGAGGAGATGAGGTCGATAACATCTGGCATTCTTTTCTTTGTATGAGGAGTGGTGAGTTGAATAGACACTGAATCTACTCATGAAGCTTGGAACGCGTCCTGACGCGGAGTCACGTGAGCTCTATATATTTGATTGGAAGCGATATTGTACACAGAGGGGTATTCATAACAATGTCAAAGAAAGAAAGAAAAAAAAAAAAAAGGAAAAGAAACTACATCGTCTTGATAGCCCAGAATGCGAGAACTGAGAGAAGCACGCCCGACAGACTCAGCAGCATGAGTAACTGCTGCGATCCGTTAAACGGGCGTCTCTCGCTCCGCAGCATTTCCCCAATGTTCTCTTCGAGTCGGTCTCCCATCGCCCTTAGCGAGAATTCATCTTCAACTCTTGTCTTTCCGGCGACAGCCATGCGCTGGGTCTTCTCTTGATCTAACCCGTAAAGAGCCTTATCCATAACACTCGTCCAGTCATCAACCTTATTCGCATCACGCAACCACCCCGTCTCTCCCTCGACAATCGTCTCCAATGGCCCACCGGTATTCGACGCCAGCACCGGAATACCAGCATGCATAGCCTCAACAGGGACGATGCCAAAATGTTCGTTGACGGGGGTGTAGAGCAGGAGTTTCGCCTGGGAGAGGAGGGTATCGCGGAACGCGGTGGGGACGGAGAGGAGGAAGAGGACGTCGATGGAGTCGGGGATGGAGAGCGCGGAAATGACGGTTTTCGAGGTTGCGGTTTGGAGGCCGAGGGCTGTGGCGAGGGTGTCGAGTTCTTTGTGGTATTGAACGTTTTCTTGGACGCGGTTGTCGTAGCCGCCTGTCGTTACTCTCCCATTAGCATCCTCATCGCACATGCGCATGCGCAAATAGTAGTAAGGTAAGGGGTCTCACCAGCAACAACCAACCTCGTCCCCCTCCTCTTCTCCTCCCCAAGCCCATGATACGCCCTTATCGCAAGCCCCATATCCTTCTTCCTCTCAAACCGATTAATACTCAACAGAATCTTCTTCCCACCCCAAAGCTCCCCCTCCTCCACTCCCTCCTTAATCCCCTTCTCCTTTGTCTTCGCCGCCGTATCAACACACGGATAAACAACACTAACATCTCCCAACGTACTCCCCCCAAAAACACTTCCCACAACACCCCTTGTAAACCGCGAATTCGCAACAACCCGATCCGCAGCGCTCATCGCCCACCCCTCGAACCAGTCGAATGGATACCGGTATATTCCCTTCGCAAGACGGAGGAGTGTACTCCGCTCATCGCGACGAGCGAGTAATTGGTCCGGAAAGTGACAATAGAATAAAATCCGCTGTTTGCCGCGAGTCGCATGCTCGCCCAGAAGTTTAAGAATAGGTGCACATGCCGCGAGTTGGTCGATTATAAACACATCATCTACCTCCTCTCCCTCCTTGCCACTCACTGTCGCCGCCGTGCTAGCCGTAGCCAACTCCCCCAGCACAGAAATCGTTAAATGCACCTGCCTCAACACCGCCATAAGCACATGCGCCCTCCCCGCCACACTCCCCGGAAAGAGTGTATCCCCGCGCACGCGCACGTCGAGCGTTCCATCGCGCGCCTCGTCGAAGCAATGGCCCGTGTCGCGGTGGGAGGTGTAGATGGTGACTTTGTGGCCGCGGGATTGGAGGGCGAGGGCGACGTCGATGATGAGGCGTTCTGCGCCGCCGATACCGAGGTCCGGGTGGATTATTGTTATATTGGGGGGTTGGCGTGGCATTTTGTAGCTTTGAGGAATTGTTTTTGGGGATAGGTTGAGTGGTAGTGGTGACGAGGAGGAGGTGGGATAATTAATAGATATAGGTTTGAGACACGCGGCGGTTGGGGCGTCATGTGATGATTACACTGTATGAATTATGAACTTCACTCTTTAGTTCTCTATGTCACTAACTGATCAAGGAATGTATCCCTCAGAAATAATCAACATGGCTTATTTTTTTATCTTTTTAAATTCCCTTGTGTTTTTTCTCTGCTGTTCTAAAGTATGATAGAGAATGCTAGAAGGCACGATTAAATCCAGAGCCCAATTCCAGGACACCTGGATATCGATCTATGTATTATCTAGTGTTCAAAGAAATAGATGCTTGTTTTTCTCTTGATAAGAGTAAAGTAAGTCGTTTGGCAAGAAGCCGGGGAATCATTGTTGACTTATTGTACTATTCCTGGGTCAGCTCGTTTTTCCTTACTTCGCAACGTGAAGGAATCTGCTAAGCATGGCAGCAAATCCTGACAATAGTCATGTTGGAGTGACAGCTACGACAAGTTCAGAAGATGAACTTGTATAGGATTCAGGAGACTTTCTGTCTCTCAAATGGGCTATCGCGATAAATGGTCTTGCCGTTCAAAGTAAACAGGGCTATCAACGAAAGATAGATACTGAACTGTCAGCTAATAGTACGCAGCTATTTCAGGGCTCTTCTTTTCAATATTGGTGCATTTATTTTCCGGCATTGTATAGCACACTTGTTAAGATCTTGGTTGCCAATATCGATACCTCCCTCGTTATAACTGACGTCTACACATACGTTGGTATCATCAGAGGTCTTACAACGAAGGCCTTTTTCGCGCAGTGTGGTGACCATTGCGGATAAAGAGACGCGATCATTCCAGTCCGCCTGGGGCTAGCACATACTATAACAGTATTTCAGGCCATCCTCAGAACAATCGTGAGTATTATATTCGCCGGTGCAGCAAAGGCTTTTCAGCAACCTTTGTCCCACACGCTACCCAGGAGGCCAGTGTCACATGTCTGGATTAGTGCCTTCTCAGCTTTGAGATCGGTTCTTGAAGTTGCTGTTTCCAACACCACGAGTGTCCTGGATAAGCCAGACGTATCCCTTCTGATCAGTTCTGTCAGAGTGGTTATGAATGTTGCCCTTGATCTCATGATCATCTCCACATTCCATCTGGACCCCAGACATCAAGATGCAAGCTGAAGTCCGTCTAATCTGTGATATGATTGCGGCAATCTCTGGCTACTATACTTCTCCATTTCCACCAGTACTGGGAGAAGCCGCGGTGGCAGGCAGAGTCCTAGTGAACCACCCAGCTTACAGACCTCTTGTGCTTTTCAAGCCAGGATTTATCAATTTCATTGGATCAACGGTTCGGAATACATTATACCTTTGAGTTGTAGCTGGAGTTGTTGCCATGTCAGCGGATTATGCAACTTCCTGGGGCATCTTCACAACTATTTGGTGGGGCCTGGTGATGGTTCCAGTTCAAACCCCAGAGACTACCTCGCTGGCACTTATAGGGTGTTATTGGGGGGTGTAGTTAGAGCATATGGGTAACCAAGAACGCCAGTCCTGGAAGAGCCTCTTCAGTATGTATTTGATTTTGATCCTGCACGTGGTCTATATTTATATCTCTAAACAAAGTGATAGTAACCGCACGACCTGCAATTTTCTCCGTGGTGATAGCTACAGCTATCGAAATCCCTCTATTTATCGTTCTGGCAACATTCGACTGCAAACCCTTTGCATTATCCCTTTTCCAATCAGAAGCTGTTGCTAAGATCACTGCGCATGTGGCAGAATCTAGGCAGTCTATAGATAAGGCGTTTACGAATCGATAGTCTTAAATCTGAATGTGCCCAAGACATCACACCGGGCAATTGTGTATTGATTTCATAGATTAGTTGACAGAATATGGCCAGACACACTGATGATTGAACTTTGTGTATTAATCTATGAATCAATCAACCAATTGAATTATTTACTGCTTTTATACAAGACAATCTCACAATGGTATCCGCAACTGCGAGGAAAGATAACAAACACAACCTATCCAAGGCAAGCACAATTAAAGACAACGATAAGAGGTGTATGTATGTAGGCATCACAAAAGGTAACATGAAAATATACAATCGAAGGTCTGCCAAAGCCAAACAGCAACCTCTCAGGAGTCGTCGTCAAATGATAGTAAATCGAAGATCGTAGAATGAAACATCAAAAGACATGAAACAAGATTATCTGCGCGACCCAGCAGAGAATTGAAAACAAGGTATCAACAGGTAAAACAGACAAAAGGGGGGATATCAACTACGTTGAACTCATAATACAGAAGAAATCATAGAAGGTAAAGCAAAAGAAAGGAAAAGAAAAAAAAAGCCTCCAATGGGGAATATAACAAGTCAAACCAGAAAATGACGCCAAAGTCGAGGTCGAAGAACCAGGAAAAGCAGTTTAGAAACAGTTCAATGTGCTCTTCTTCTTCTTTTTGTTAAGCGCATTCATCCGTTCCTCAAGTTGAGCACGAGCAGCCTCGGCCTCGCGACGGGCACTCCTCTCCTCCTCAACAGCTTGCAACGACATGCGCTGGGAGCTGCGCTCCTTACGAAGCGTAGAAAGCTCGTCTTCCACTTGGAATGCCTTCTTCTTCCATGCTTCGCAGTCCGACTTGACCTTGTTGCTTTGCGCTTCGAGGTCGCCAAGAGCTTCTTCCAGTGTTGCTGTCAGCTGCTTCTCGGCGTAGAGGTGCTTCTCGATAGTCTTGATGCGCGCTTCTTGGTCTTCGACGATTTGCGAGTTCACTAGTTCCTTGCTGGTGTGACGAGAGCTGGGGGGAGAGATACTGCCGGTGTTGCCATTGGTTTGAGAGGCAATGGTTGGGAGAGGTGGCAGAGGAATGGCGGGAGGGGGAGACGGAAGAGAAGCTGCGGAAGAGCTCTTGCGGAGGTTGGAATTGACCGAGCTGCTGCGATCGTGCGACGCATCGGTTCCGCTGCCGTTTTTGAGTTGCAACTGCATCATGTTAGTACCAGCACCAGACATAGGACGAAAGGACAAAAGAACATACCTCAAGCTGCTCAATCCGAACCTTGTAAGTCTCGATGTCATTCTCATACACAGAGATCTTGGCCTTAGCATCCACCAGCGCTTGATCACGCTCCTGCTGGATAACAGAGAGACGGTTGTTGTGTTGATCAAAGCTGTTAGTGATCTGGTCCTCGAGCTCCTCAACAAGACGCGCGCTCTTGTTCTTCTCGGCCGTAATCTCCTCAACCAACGCGTCCTTCTTCTTCACCTGGTCGTCGCGCTGCTGAAGCGTATCCTCTAGTGTAGCAACAAGAATAGCCAGCTCGTGTACCTTGGTATCCTGGGCAGCGGTCTTCTTGGTGAGTTCCTCCAGACGACCATCATCGCCACCGTTGTTCTCAACCCGCTTGCGCAAGTCTTCGTTGGTGTCCATGAGCTCGGCGTACTTGTCGGAGAAATGCTGTTTCTGGGCCAGCACCTCTTGGATTTGCTCAGACAGGTTGTCCTTAGTGACGTCGGATTTGAGGAGGTCGGAAACCATCCTGAGCAGTTTAGCCAGTTCGTCCCGCGACTCTGCCATTTCGGTGCGCAGCGCCTTCATAGCTTCGTCGTGCTCGGCGTTCTTGGTGGCGAGTTGCGACTCGTACTCAGCCTGCGCAGCTGCCTTGGCCCGTTCTTCTAATTCGCTCAGTTCGCGCTTGTGGGACTCTTGCAGCGACAACAGTTCTTGCTGATGACCGGCCACCGTCGACTGGTGCATCTCAATTTCGCGTTCCAAGTCCGTGACACGAGACTGAGAGGTAGAGCCCTCGTCGCCACTGCCGTCCCTGGCTGCCACATGCTGGTTGAGCTGGTCTTGAGCCGACAAGTGTGATTTCTCCAGGGATGCGATCGTCGCAAGATGGGTAGTAATCGTGGCCTTGTGCTCCTCAATGGTCTTCGTCAAGCTGTCGACCAAACTCTGTTGCTGAACCCGGCCGTTGTCGAGACCGCGGGCAGTGGCTTCCTTTTCATTGGATGTCTCACGGGCAGCGTCGTCTCCATGTCCCGCGCGCAGCGCATCCACAGACGCCAAGGCGGTCTCCAGCTCAGCGAGTGTTGAGCCCAGCTTCTGCTCGGAGCCTTGAAGCGAGTCCAGGGCGTTCTGGTGCTTGCCCTTCCACTCATTCAGTTCGTGCTCCAAAACACCAAGGCGCCTGTCGTGCTCATCCGCACCAGCATCCTGTGCGCGAGCAGCTTCCTCCTGGGTCTTGAGAAGACCCCTGAGTTGCGCAATCTCGCTGTGGAGTTGAAGCTCACGAGCGTCATGCCCGGCCTTGAGATCACCCATCAGATTCTCCTGCTGCACGACCTGGTCGCGGAGTTGCGTCACCAGACCCATATCGATCGACGACGCTCCACCCTGCAAACTGGACCGTTCCCGGGTCAGGCCAGAGATAATGGTGGACTTCATCTCCATCTCCTTCTTCACGCTCTGGTTCTCCGCCTCCAAGGACTGTATGCGATCCATGCGAGTGTGCAACTCGTGCATCGCAGAGTCATAGTGCACGTCGAAGTTCTGCAAGGTGTCGGGGCGAGATTCAAACGCCTCGACAGCGATGTTACGCAGGGCAGCCAGAGAGCGATGCGCCCGATCGACAGTAGAAATGAGGCTTTGGCTGGTCTTCCTGCGGATGACGGGCGACTTGAAGCCAGGCGTGGAAGGCGGCGATGACGAGCGCGACCGATGAAGCTCAGACTTGAGGGTCTCCACTAAGTTCAGCACGCCCTCATGCTCAGCCTGCAGTTCCGCGTACTTTTGCGACATGAGGCTGACACCCTCCTGGTGCTCCAACAGTAGCCGGCGCATCTCTTCCACCTCATCCTCCACAGGCTCCTTCTTGGTGATTTCAGAAGCATTCGAGGCCTCCGGCGACGTAGCAGACTCCCCGGCCAAGGATAATTCCGAGGAGAGTGATCGCGAGAATGAATGTTGAGTTCCAGTTCTCGACTCGGTCCCGGGGGCTTGGGTATCCTCTAAAAAAGAAACCGGACGGGAGTTGGTGGTGGCGGTGATGGGCGACGACGGACGGTCCTGGAGAGCGTCAGATGGTGCGAGATGACTATGGCGAGCTTCATCCGCCGTGTCCTGCTGCACCTTCGCCAACGCCTTGACAGCTTCCTCGTACTTGGCTTCCAAGGACTCGTACTCGGTCAGAGTCGATTCGTGCTGCATGCGTAGGTCGAACAGCTCCTGGTTGACCGTGTCGAGCTTGTCAGCGACAAACCGAGACTGGTCGTCGGCAGTAGGACCCTGGACAGGCTTGCTAGCAGCATCGGTGGCGAGTTCAGCACTGCCATGGGCAGATTTGGCCATCTCGTCCTGCAAGGTAAGGCCAGCACCGGCCAAGCTGTCGTCATGATGTTCATCATCAGGCTCAGGAACGGCCGTCTCGGATGCTTCGTTCAAAGGATCCAAGGAAGTGGCACGCTTCCGCATGTGCTGGGCGCTCTTCATGGTCATGGCGCGGGTCTCAAAGTCATCGCGGCTGCTGTGCCTCTTGTGGTGGCCATTCTGCTGCTTGGTCTGGTCGAGTTCGGTGAGCAGGTTATCCAGCTTGCCCAGACTGCGCTGGCGCTCAACAACATGCTCCAGACGTTCCACTTCGCGTTGCATCAACTCCATATCCTGATCGGCCTCGGCGAGTCGCTCCTCCAAAGTGGAGATGTATTCTTCGCAGCCAGTCTCGCCCTCGCGAGCACGGCTCACCTCCTTGCGGAGCTCAGAGACGATGGCGGCATGCTGCTCTTCGCCCGATGACTGCCCATCGAGCTTGTTCTCCAGTTCATGCAGATACGCTTCCGTGCTGGACTCCCGATCGAGCAACTTCTGGACCCGCGCCTGCAGCTGTGTGTTGACGGTCTCGACGTAGGTGCACTTGGTTTCACGCTCGAGCAGAGTACTCTCTGTGACGGAGAGAGACGAACGGGTGTTGGAAAGCGACGATTCGAGGCTCTGGATGGTCTTTTCGTATTCCAAAACCACCTGCTCCACCGATTCAGCGAAAGAATGCGACCGCTTGAGTCGCTCCACGGAGCTCTTGCCAACCGAAGAGGCATCGTCCGATGCATCGTCCTGGCTAGTGGATGGCCGTTCAGAATCCCGGGCCATATCCGAAATCAACTTGGCATGGCGTTGGCTGAGGGCGTTGTAGCTTTCCTGCGCATCCAACAGCTGGTCTTGTAGGTCAATCTCTTTCTCGTTGCGCCGTTCCGACGAACGCTCCCGTGGAGGCGCCATGTGGCGGTCATTTTCCTCGGCACTGTGCAGTTGCTGCCGCAAAAAGGCAACCTCAGCCTTGAGACGGTCAATGACGGCTTGCTTGTCACTTTCGTCGGTGACTTGTTGGATACGGGGCTTGCTCTGAATGGCACGGGCGCGCTGCGCATATTGGATGGTGTTGAGAGTTTCGCTGAGATGGAATTCTGCGGGTGTAACACATGCGATCATGTAGGTGTATGCATTGCCGCCCAGGGAATCCTGCAGCAGACGGGTGAGTTTGGAATCGCGGTACGACACGTGGGAGCCCGACTGCCGCGACGACAACTGGGAGATGACTTTGCCCAAGGCTGCCAGACCAGCGTTGATGGAAATACCCTCACGCGCACGTTCACCCGACGCTCCGGTGTTCTTCAGCCTTTCGCTTCCTGCCAAGTCGACAAAGTGAAGTTTGCTGTCAACGGTGACGGAGGAATCGGAGTTGCCAAATTCGACCGGAGCAGACATGCGCTTGTCCTTGGGGGACGGCGATCCTATAGAAGGGCTTGACTGTTTGCTGCGCTGGACAAGATTCAAACTGAATACCGCATGCGACCGGGAGGATTTGGCGTTAATGGCTGTCGAATCCGTCTGACGGATGGAAGAACCGAAATTCAGAGCGCCAATCAAGTCGTCGAAAGAATTGATGTTGACCTGGTGTAGACCAGCCAGGATAATGCGACCTTTGGTATCCTCGCGGATAGTGACGGGAGGACGTTCATTTCCGGGCGCCTCAGGAACAAGAAGGTCTCGTAGTGTTTCGTTGTAAATCTACCAACGTCAGTCTTCTGCCGGAAAGGATTTCTTGGCAACACGCACCTCGACGTAGGTGGCTTTGAGCTGCCAATTTTTGTCGGGATTATTGGCCTTTCCGAAGCTGGAGGTGGAACTCATGGAGTACCGCGACGGCGTCCGGAGGCCGGTGGAGCTGTTGCGATTGTGTTTCTGCGGACCATCTAGTTTCTCAAACAACAACTGGGCGGCACGTGGAATGACACCCATAGCCTCGGTGTTGTTCTGTTCGTTCGGACCGGAAGTACCCATGGTGTAGGACTTTCCGGCGCCGGACTGACCGTAGGCCAGCAAGGAGACATTGTAACCCTGCAGGAAGGAGTTGACGCTGTCGCTGAGATAATCCCAAATGCCCTCCTGGTTCACGGTTTCCGCAAAGACGCGGTCAAAGACAAAGAGTTTGCGCCCCTGGGGAACATCCACGGCAACGCTGGTCGGAGCCGTCACATGAACCATGGAACGCTGGAAACGTTGCGGGATTAATTCGTAGCCGGGATCGGTGGCTTTCAGGGGAGGTCGCACGCGGACAGCTACAGCAGATCAGTCAACATCTGTACATGGTGACAAGAGACAAAAAGAGAATACGCACCGACTTTGACGGCGGTTTTGGTATCCTCGTCCGAAGCGCGACTGCCGGGCCCTTGTTTACTGCTCATGCTCAACCGGCTGTTGCTTCTCGGAGTTCGCATCATGCTGAACCGCGGGGAAGCGGCCGTGGGAGAGGCCGGCGGCGAGCCCGTCATGGCCCTTTATTATGAGGAAAAAGAGAGATATGAAGATGCGATGGAACAAACGGAGGGTTCAGGAGAGAAGAAGGGATGGGGAGGTCATCAGCTCGTAGTCGTCGTTTGGCGATATATGAGTATCTGCAGTATGCGTTTGTTAGTGATGCCCAATAAGACACAAGGCAATAACAGAATAAGAAAAGAAACAGCAGACTATAATTATAATTATTATTGTGATATTGTTGACGTACCAGAAAGCGAGTGCGCGACTCGGAGGACAAGCCTCAGAGACGGAAAAGAAACGAATAGCGATCACAAAAATAATAAATAAAAATAATACTTAAAGAAGGAACGCACCACCCGCCACCAGAAAAAGCAAAAGATGAAAAGAATAGATAGAGAAAATGAGTGAGAAGAGAGAGGGGAGAGAGGGAAAAGAAAGAGAGAGAGAGGGACCGGGAGAGATTAAGGAGAGTGACAGGTCTGGGGACAACGACTAAGGAGGCCCATCTCAATTAATCGGCGTTTTAGCCCCGTAATTACTGTATTGTGTATGCTGCTACTATATTTTCATACTGATAATATCAGTAATGATTGAAACATTCTTCACCATCATTTCTCTGTAAGGACTATGATCTATGGTAGGTTTTATGCAGCGCGCATTCTTTAAATATGGCCTCGTGCGGGTGGAGCAATAAACCATGCATTCCATACATACGGAGTACAGCACAGCACATACGGAGTGCTCCGGAGTCGCACGGCATATTACTGGCAGTCTTTGTATACAGATTGAGCTGTGATATTGGCTTATTTGTAATTTTAGTAGATATTTCTACAGTCCTCAATTGTTGATGGCACCGTGTCGAGTACGGAGAACGGCACAGAACAGTGATCCCGGCCGATGCAAAAATGGGAAGTGCTCCGACTGGACTTTCAATGTAGAAGAACACTCTGAAGCATTGGCTTTGATTGTCCTGTCAGTGCGTGCTGGGTGGGTTCCTGGCACCTTCCTGTTTGGGTAACAGTCATTCACTTTACCGGCCTTCACTTTACTCTGTACATCATCTGCTATTCTTGCTTTTGTCTTTTGCCTGTCCATGATAATTCCGGGAAATATTTCACTGACGCGCGACGTTTTTCCGGGCGACATCGCCGTGGATACATACAGACTCAGACTCGGAGCAGTTCCAACGCTGGCGTATGGGAGGATGTCCTCGGAATACTGCTTGATTAGACCGTTATACCATATTCGACAAAAGACAACCAACTAACTACTCTGTTGCAGGTCAAAGCACTGCATGCCATTGTTTGCAAAAACACACCATCGATATGGCCTTGCACTAGTTAACAAGACTCCCCATGGCCTCAAAGAAACACGGGACGATACACTGGCACCTATCGAAGGAGCGTACGCAATGATACCGAACGTGCACACTAGTCCCATTCGCCAAATGCGCGCATTGCCAGACAAGCGAAATGACCTCGAAGGTCTTGTCTCTATGGGGCGACACCATAAATTCTTTACCAAAGCACCGCGACGTCCACGCCCGAATGCAGTCTCGAACTCCTCGTGCAATGATCAATCACCTGGGTCCTCTCTGGATCTCGGGGAAATATTCTCCCATGAACGAAGTGGAGGCAAATTCGTCCAGAGTAGCAGCATACCGATTGTCCAATCAGTCCCGGATTCTCTGCTTGATTCGAGAGAAAAATTGACTTATACGATAAATGGATAATGCAGGTGTTCTTCAGGGGCACGTTGGCCGTCGATAAACTTTGTCTGCCCCGGAAAACAACAAAGTCCCGAGTTTATTGCTCTGTTCTATCGGCGGGAGAAACCTTCGTGTTGTTCTATTCCCACGAGTGGAAATGATCCAGAGCACACCAAGTGAAGAATAGGCCGGACCCGAAGGTAGGCATGTGTGCATCCACCAAAAATACTCCGAGTACGCGATACGTGTCGATGTGCTAGTCGATACATCACCCACAAAAGAAAAAGACCAGAAATTGGAACCCAGGGCAAAGTTGATGTTACGGAAAATTATTCCCTCTAGCGTCTCGCTCATTCGCGGGGCCTCGTGTTTCCTAAAACTTCCATGTAGATTCTGCAGAAGATCCCCGAAGATCTCGCGCAGCTAAACACACAATAGAATTCAATGGATGGCTTTATAGCCAATATCCAGCCAACTACCCGCGCACTATGCTCCTGCATAAACTCAAGGTTGGTCCTAACGGCCAGGGCCAAAAAGGGGATCGAATCCCCCGGGTTCTCAAAAATTGATTTTTACAGTATTCGGTGGTGTTTTGCGTGCGGCCACCTGATGGCAAGTAATATGTATCACACAGAATATCCGCCCTCTCCTCATTCTCTCTCAGTCAGTCAAGCCACTGCTTTAGGCCAAAGACAATTATTGCTCCACTGCAGTGGGACAGTGGGCTCAGCTCCACAGATCATTGAACCACTGTTTAAACTTAGATGGATCGACTTAGTCCTTGAATCCTACCAATACCGGACTTCGACACCCTGCACCGAAAACGGAACTGCGTTATCATACCACTATGCAAAGCTCAGACAGCTCCCGGCACCCCAAGATAAGTCCTCCGTACATCTCGAGATGGGACTAGGTATGCTGTCCGCACAACCGCGGATCTAGCTAACGCAAACTCTATAGGTCGGCCATGACTCGGGTTCCAAACTAAACCGATATCGCCGTTGTAACAGCTTCCATGGTTCATTCTCGTATTCACTTTGGCGGACCTGATGGATATGAGGAACGAGATCAGGTATTAGGTCTACAGGGGGTGTTCCAGGGGCAGTTTGGTGTACACGGGGTTGGCTTTCGCCATGGAGGGACAAGGTGTTCAATCAAAGACGCACCCGTCTGCGAAGCCTGGACCTGGCTCTGGCCATAGCTTCCCAGCGCCATCATGCTAGAACATTGCTTGATTACAGACTCGGTCATTAGTCTCGAGGATGACGAGCATTTGACCCTGATGTTGCGGTACTGAAAAGCTCTGGGAATGCAGCGGATGCGACTATAGTGCGAGTACACACCAGCATAAATGCATTGGCCTGTAGCGATTTGTCGACGAAAACGGCCATACATACGCCTCGACGCAAGGGGTTATCTCTGAATGGCGCAAAATAAAACCCAGCCATGGCGGTCCTATCCTATCCTGTCAATATATATCGATTATTGAAGCCACAAGACCTGGATAGGAGCATACCATATGGCTATTAGGTAGGGACGACTGGTTATGATAACCGAACTCATTTTCAGACTGATATAGATATGCTCACTTCCTGCATTATATATCCATAGCAGTCAGCTCAACATGTGACCTCAGCTTATCCAGCTTCCTTGCAGTCGTTCATTCCAACAACCTTCAACATCACCAACATCAGAATCATGGCTTTAGACATCATCATCGTGGGCGCAGGTATATCCGGTCTCTGCACGGCCATCGCTCTTCGACGATCCGGCCATAGAGTGCAGGTATAATCCCAACTGCCCGTTCCCTCTCCTCTTGCTGACAAGATTAGATCTTCGAGAAGTCTCGCTTTGCAACCGAAACCGGAGCAGCCGTCTCCCTAGCACCTAATGGCGTCCTTGTCTTGGAACATCTCGGTTTTGATTTCGCTCGAGCACAAGCGTGCCGCCACAAGGCTTGGGTAGTGATGGACGGTTTGACGTTGAAGCAGATTACGACCCAGAGCCTGGAAAATATTGCTAGTATCACTGGGTCGGATTACCACACTGTTCATCGTGTGGATCTGCATAAGGAACTGTTGAGACTAGCTCTGGACACCACGACAGACCACCACTCCACCCCTCCCGCGAATATCCAATACGGTTCCCCAATTGCCAATGTCGACGCGCTTAACGGCAAGGTCCACCTAACTGATGGCAGCATCCACTCTGCCGATCTATTAATCGCAGCAGACGGAATCCACTCCACAGTACGTGGATGTGTAGTTCCATCCGGCTCAAACACGAGTAACAGAGCTATTGAAACGGGGATGAGCGCATTCCGTTTCTTACTGCCTACGGAGACGCTCATGGCTAGACCAATGATCAATGATGCCATGCGGATGAAAACGGGAGATTCGGCTCTGTTGGCGGACACGTCGAGGGTTGATAGTGTGCAGCATATGATCTGGTATGGGTGTCGGAGGTGCGTTTGTCTTTTCCCGATGATGGCAGGGGTTGTACTGATGAAGCGATAGAGAGCAAGTTCAGAACTTTGTTGGCATCCATCGAACACGAGAACCAGAGAGGAGTCCCGGTGATGCAAAGTCAGATATGCTAGAAGAATTCGGCCACTTCAACCCAATTGTCCCAGAGATAATCAAGTACGCTCTTCACCCGTTTCCTACAGTCTCATTGCTAACAGCACTAGTCTAGCTGACGACGTAAAATGCTGGCCCCTCTTAATCCACGAACCCCTCAAAACATGGATCTACCACAAAGTCCTCCTTATCGGCGATGCTGCTCACGCTGTACTCTCCCCCTTACCCGTTATCCCTCGACGTCCAGCCTCTAATAGGTGTCGTATAGATGCTCCCCTTCGGTGGCCAAGGCGCAAACCAAGCCATCGAAGACGCCGGCGCAATCAGCATCCTCTTTCGAGATCTGCATAGCGCGGAAGATCTGCCTGCACGGCTGGCGCTTTTCGAGAAAGTACGCACGAAACGCGCGTCGAGAGTACAGGTGCTGTCAACGGTTAGGGTTGGAAAGGAGAAGGAGGTTGAGGGGGAGGTGTTGAAGTATATGGAGGATGGGCTGGATAGTATGTTTTGCCGCGGTTATTGTTCGTGTTGGGTGAAGCTGACTGAATAGTTCCGAATACATTTGCAAGTCGGTTGGTTCATGATTCTGGGTACATACTCCTATATCCCCTGCATGGTAGGGTATGGCTAATAATGGGACAGATTTAATGTGCTTGAGCGATGTGAGAAGGAGTTGAAGGCTTTTTGATGCAATATTTCCAGATTGATGATAATCTCTGGTTTCCATACGCTATATCAGATTTATAGAGGACGAAATCCCTAACAGACTCACGGAAAATCAGGTAAGTAGAAGATTGGTGTCGCCGTGCATTTTTCCATCAAACATTTATCCAACAAATGCATTCTCCATGGATATTTATAGGCATTGTGAGATTAGATTCGTAACAACCATCAGACGGATACCAAGTAGCCCTCACAAAATCTAAAGACGATTTATCTCGAAATATCTCTAATCTTATTGAAGGAGTTGTAATATCCATTGCTAACGTGTGTAGCGGGTTATTTATTGTTGACTTGTCCGTTTCCAAGAAATTGATCAACTTGCCCAATGTTTCTGGTATGTCTTGACGTGTATCGCATACTTGTCGAAGGCTTTGAAGACAAAGTCTATATCGCTATTGTTCAGAGTATCAAGTCGGATACTCCAATGTAATAAAGGAGGTTCTATTTACCCAGTTCGCGGACAAGCTGTGGCATGCAGCCGCAGGGGCCATGAAGCCATACACATTAGCAATTCCGAAAAGAGAACTGTCGGCAGCGATGTTAGGAAAACGTGCCAGTGTATGTACGAATCCGGTTTTCTGGTACTTCTTACACCAAATCCAGGGTGTTGAGCTCCCGTGCATTTCTCAGATAGTGATGAGCCATCGTTTAGGACAACTGTGTGCGAAAGTGCTCCTTGTAGATTATAGTGTACTCCTATGGTTGTTGAATGTTCATTATTTTAGTTGGTGGATTGGCTCCGAGAACGGTAGGCTGGCTATCATGCAGTTAGAAGAGCATCTTTTCTATATGGCTGAATTCCAGTGCTGTGTTTGTCAGCAATGACATTGGGGACTACTGTAGCCATTGTAGGACTAGTGTACTGGAAGTAGTAGGATTCTATTGAGGATATACTCAATAGCCTATGAAAAAGTAGACCGGCTCAGTATGCCTGTAATAAGTGTAGATGTCTATACATGTGTCCGACGGAGTGCCATAAGGGAAATACCAAAAGCATGCTTGAGATAAGTAAGCTATTAGGCAGGATAATAGATAGATCGATGGCTGCTTGGCAGTTAAATGACAAGAAGAGGCAAAGAAAAACAAGAGAATAGTTCCGACATTCACCCGAACCCGAATATCCAACATCAACTTTCCTAATGGGGTAAGTGGCCCATTAGGCACTAACGACGGTATGTCTTAGACCGGCCCAATCGGATGCTGGACCCTGGAGATCCGGATGGATATTATTTATAGGCTGAGGACAGCGAATGAATATAAATACCACGTCTGCTCCGACTAGAATCATCTTATCATCCTCAATCGTAAAAAACCAATTAACCAATTCCACAATGAAGATCTCCGCCGCCATTGCCACCGCTGCCCTCGCCGCCGGCGCCACGGCTTTTGACAAGTACCTGCGTACGTCCTTTCTCCCTTCACTACATATATACCGTGCATAACTGATCAAGCATAACAGCCTGGGGCAAGCGCGACTACTCCTGCGTCAACGTCTACCAAGGCGTGCCTGACAACTCCACCGTCGCCCCCGGCACCACCATTGACATCCGCTTCAACCGCGCCCCTACCACCAACTGCGAAGACCCTCTGGCCCAGTACCCGGGTGACTACTACAGCGTCTGGTTGTACAACAACCCCGTTCGCAACCTGGACACGATCAACTATGATCACCAGGTTAAGCTCGCCGATGGGTTCTCTGAGAAGGATGGCAAGGTATCGATCACCATCCCCGAGGATCTTCCCGCTGTGAATGACGAGAGTGTGTGGTATTTGCGTCTGAGCGGTTCGTTGTCGACGGCGCCTCAGATGCCGAGCATCTACAATGCGGCGGGTCCGTTTACTATCCAGAAGCAGGAGTAAATAGTTTGATTTGATTTGTTGTATGTGTATATAGCAAAGCGGAAATCTGTCCTGTTATATAATAATCTTATGTATCTGTCTGAACCTTTCGGGGTTATGAGTCGGCCTGAGAAGCCAGCGTTCCCTGCTCTTCAACGCATAGGAGGCCAGCCCTTCGCAGATCAGCTCGTATGATTGTCGATATTGCTTGGATGTTTCACGAAAGCCAGTTAGAGCTCATCGAGCCTTGGTCTTATTGATGTCAGAGTGGATCAATATCTCGGCAACGTTCAAGCAACGTTCAGGCAACGCGGTGGTAACAAAACCATCGAGTTGCTGTTTGCAAGGAAGGGATGGCCGTATGTTTCTCGGTCTTGCTTTGCATAAGCAGTAAGTTAATTAATTGCGGTATCTGCAGTCGTTTCACGAAGGCGAAGGGAAACATCCACGTGGTGCCCCTGTTGTTTTCTTGTACTGTAGAGGCGTGCATACATTGAAAAGTCTGCATCATGTACTAGATTGGTTCACTCTTGTTTCTATCGACGGAGTTGTGTCGTTCGAGTGGGATTAGCGTATCGATCTTTCCGAATCCTCTGGGAGTGAGCCTTGGATTTTCAAGCTATTTCTGCGCCCCGTTTTTGCCTTGTTGCTGCATTGCAGTGACTTGTTTTGCCAGGCTAGTCACAGTGTCGTTTTTTTTTTTTTTTTTTCTTGTTTGCGGTTCGCGCAACGCATTTATCTTAGTTTGATGGTTGATTATGAATTCGGCGCTCTCGATGTTCCCAGTAAGTTGCGAGCCACCACGCAGCTGTCTGCCACTTCAGATTCCACATCTGGCGTCTGAGGGCACGGGGTTGTTTCCTGACCGTGTGTCTGTAGTAAGATTGGATGGTTGGTCGATGCTGTCTTTGGATGCTCGTGGGCCGTTGTTTACTATTGTTAGTTTTCTTGTTCTTGTTCTTGTTCATTATCATATCATTTTGCTGATATGCTTGGTAAGTCTTCTAACGGGCGGTTCGTAAAATGGTGGCAAGAATGGTAGAAAGGGTATTGATTGCAATAAAGAGAGACAATTTATCACTTTTCTTTAAAGAATGAAGCGACGGCGGCTACAGAATGGAAAGAGCGCTCTGCTTCCACTGTGTAGAGGGCATATTCCCGAAGAGATAAAAAGCGTATTCCCTATGAAAGCATAATACTGTAGCACAGCACACTGTATGACGAAAAGCAGGAGAAATAAGTTATGTCGACGTGAAAGGCCAACGAATAATGCTGATGAAGTAGTATATATTGAGAGAAGAAAGATGGAGCGACGCGAAAAGAGACGTTCATTTACCCCCAACTTCTAACCATCAGCTACTGGCAATGAGTGATACAGGGAAAACTAAACAGAAGAGAAAAATCTCAGTGGTCATTTATGATCTGGGTCCCATTGTCACTGCATCTAGGAAGCCCTAATTATCGTGCATTCCCAGTCAGCGCCATCGGACATCAGCCCCGTGGACGGCATGGGAAGTACCCCCTTTCTCAACCTCCTACACGCAAAGAACAGCAGCTTTGATGGTATTTGCAATTTAACAGGGTCTATTCTAACCGTATCAGACAAGTAGATTGTTCTAGGTTCATCATTCGTCGCATGTACATACAGCAGAAACCCCATCCCTATCTATTATACTATCATCTAGGCACAACAAACCTCGGCCTCGCACACTTCACGTCAAAACTCGACACAGACCCCGGCAAAACCTGACACGTACTCTCCGTCTTTGAAGTAACATTCCTCACACTCTGCGTACAATTCTTTCCCCTAAACAACTCAATTACACACCCCGGGCTAATGTCATCCTTAATGAATCCCAACGCGCTACCATGCCGGATATCATTCCGACAAGCCGTGGTACCATTTCCGGAAAATATATCCTGAGGTCCTGTGCAATTTGTGTTTTGGAAGAGAAAGAACTCCCAGGATACCGGGTTATTGTTGCCGTTTTGTCGGGGGAAGTTGACTGCTGGGACTGCTGTCGTGCTTGCTCCGAAGAGGCCGAGGAGGGCGAGGAGAGCGGTGGCCTTCATGGTCTAGAGACTAGTGTGGTCTGGACGGACTGAGGCTGCGGATGTAGCTCCGGGATCAGCGAGCAGAGCAGAGCAGTGTCTTTTATTTGTTAGCGTATGTAGTTATCTACAGGCTAAAGGAGGGCAGTCTCACCAGGTTGCAACGGTTAGAGTCTAGTCCAATTCACAGACCACAGACAAGGTCGTCTGTTTAAATAACCGAGAGCAAATGAATACATCATCATAACCAAATATTCGAGGCAAGGAATGTTATCGGAGAATTGTCCCGTGGTTCGCTAATCAGATCAAGTGGCAATAGATCTAAGACATCATCAAACAAAGCCCAGAATCGATTGTCGAACATACAGAGTTTGCATGTACCATGGCCGCAGGGCACAGAACTAAAGACCCCTGAATATTGATTGTGTCATTGCATGCACATAAATCTAGACCGGCCCGAAAATGTCTTATTAAACACTCGAAACTAATTACCCGGTACATTGGTATAAATTATTGCTTCCCTTGCATGTTCTGCAACAGGGTTTCTGTAAATCGCCAAATGCGCGATGAATCATGCGCATCAAAAGCAGCCCCCGTATAATATGTACGCCGACGTCCCTGCAACGCATTCAACTCCCGATAGAAACCCATATCAATAACATCAGGCGACACCTTGAGTTCAAACGGCGCATGCGCTTCGTAGGCCACATAGTCTGGGCTGCTACCATTCACCTGCAGATACTGTATGGCCTGTGACATGGCGTCCTTGACATCTTCCTCGCTGATAAAACCCTCACTCCCGTACAAGATGCTGTAAAGACCCGGCACAGCGGTCGGGGTCAGGACATACACGCCCGGCAATGGTGGGAGGTTATACTGTGTCTCGTTTGCGCGGTTGAAAGCGGTTGTCCCAGCAGGAAGGCCGTCGACCCGCACTAGGGCTGTGTAGTAAGCACTGCTGCTGAACAGGCCGAAGAGCCCTTGTTCAACTTCGTCCAGATCGTAGCCGTCCAGGTTATCCAGCGTCGGCGGGATGGCGGAGATAACCTGCTTTGTTCGAATGCTCTGGCGACCGTCTGGTGTCTGTATTTCGATGTGTACCCAATCCGGGTCGCCGTCGCGGTCCATGGAAACTACAGTGCTGTTGAAGAAGATATCAGCTGCCAATTGCTCCGCGGCACCCACGTACAGTGCGCCGTTATTGTGGTTAGCTGTCTGGAGGAAGCCGTTCTGCATGGCATCCATCACCTCTAGCGAAACGTATTTCATCACATAGATAGTCGGCAGTTGTAGGAGATCTCCCACACCCTGTGCATAGGAAAAGATGACATCCACCACTGAGCCAAGGTCATGCTTCTGGACAAACTCGCCAAATGGTAGCGTTAGGTCTTCAGGAACCGGGTCCGGCAGGTCGAACCCAACAGCGAGATAGGGGTACTTCAGTAGCTGCGCCGCATACCGGGATAGGGCATCGGAGACATTACCCTGCGAAGCGTCGACAGGTGTCCCGGAACGGAAGTCGATGCGCTGGGGCTCTCCACCAGACGGAGGTACGGTGGTCAAGGGGATCCCGAAATGGTTGAAGTAGTTGCGAACTACCGTCAAGTTTTCGTAGTAGATTACGCCGAAGTCGACATATGTGCCGGTAGCTGAGTCGAAGTAGGTGTCGGTATGGCCGCCTAGCCTACCGCTTTTCTCAATAACGGCAACAGTTTGATTCCTCTCGCGCAGATTAACGGCCGCGTATGTGCCCGCCGAGCCACCGCCAATAACTGTCACATCGCGAGTGATGACCTGGGCGGAGCCCAGACCGAGGCAGGCTAGAAGTGAGATCACGGTACCAACGCGCATGATGCTGTGCCGTAAAACGATACGTAAGTGCCAAAATGAATAGAGATCTTTATCTTGAAGGAAATTCAACGCTTTATATCATTGGACAGTCACGGTGGGCGCACTTTGTACGACTCATCCGTTTGACAATCCGGGAAATTTTGGTAAGCATCGGTCTGACATTCGTTTGCTAACACCGAAAATAGCCGGCATTGCTGAAAACCAACACCAACCACTGGTATCCTGGTAATGCTAGTGAGAGCTCACCGATCAGGATCAGTCCAATGGCTGTGAATTGAGCTTTAGATACGTTACCGTAAAAATGCCTTGGTATTGCAACTGTTGCTCTATGGCAGCGAGGTTGCAAGATATGTGTACCGCCAGTAACTGCCGATCTTGGGCACGAGCATTCCAGAGCGCAACACTCGTCCTGAAAGACAAGCTGCAAACGTCGAAGCTCGAGACTATCATGGTCGATAGGATGAAAAAAAGGACCAGATTGAATTTTAACGACACCCAATCAACTAGTCCGACTCCTCATGACAACTGTAGATGGTCATTAGTGCAGGCTCAGAACTAACAGAGATAGAACAGCTACAAAGCACCAACAAGAACAAAAAAGATGTATCGCATTGCTAGATAGTGATAATTAGCAATGGAGAGGATGTTGGCTTAGAAGTAATGGCTGGGGCGGAGGGTGGAAGCTGTGAGCTACCTTAGTATGATGGAACTTGTTCCAAGGTTACCAGACTTACTGGTGATGCAGGGTAAGATTTATCGATTTCTAGTGCTAGCAGTATCACTTACTGATAATATGACTAGACCATACTGCGGCTTTCTCTAGAGTGTCTGTAAAACAGCAGATACGGTATTCGGTGCATGGAGTGATCGAACTGTGCCGGCAACGCGGAAACGGCGTCGGTCGACGCCGAGAACAGCAGCACCAAATCAAAATTGTTAGTTATACATTAGGTAGCTTCTGATGTAGAGTATTGAAAAACCCCGGCCCACCTCTGTCGGCCAGGACGGTCTCATATCACGTGTCTTTATAGAAGGTAAGTTGAGGTCCTCAACCGTTAGCTACTACTACTACTACTACTACTACTACTACTACTACTACTGGCCTCAACTGCATTTGGCTCGGGCCTCCGCTGCAGGGAGAACAGCCACCGGAGACTAGTCCGATTTTCAACTTCGTTGTTTCCCGGGATTCTCAATCTAACCAACCTCTTCTCCGCATGTGGCGGTGTGATTGCCAACATGCCCGAGGTTAACAAGAAGCACACCTCAGAGCTGAGGTTGTACACTCTTTCTCTCAATCATCAGCAAGATGATCTTTGCATCGGATCGTCCTCGTCTTAGCAGTAGGTCTATGTCGTGACTGAGGCCTTCGCTTGATGCTAACTATATACAGTCCCCACCACCCATTCCATCTGGGACTTCCTCTTCGACTCTGAATACTCATGTCTTGGTCGAACGCCAGCAGCTGAACTGGCAGGTTTCAGCAATTCTGTAACCAAAGAACGAGTCCGGTATGATACCCTCAAGGACTACACCACCTACCTCTCGACGGCCCTTGTGAGAAAATATGGCCTTCAACCGGGCGAAACGGTGGCTTTGTTCAGTCCCAACACCATCTGGTATCCGGTAGCCATGCTGGGAACTATCCGTGCAGGCGGTATTATTTCCGGTGCATCGCCGGCATACAATATCGAAGAAATGACCTATGCGCTCAAAACTGCGCAAGCTAAAATTCTCATGACGGTACCGTCGTCGATGTCGGTTGCTATTCCTGCTGCGCAGAATGCTGGTATTCCCGGAGAGCGGATTTTCCTGCTTGAGGGTGACCATGAGGGGTATACGACTATGCAGCAACTGCTGGAGATGGGCAAGAGCTACGGATCGGATCAGACACTGGCGTTCAAGATTGCCCAGGGAAAAACGAATCGTGACGTTTGTGGGTTTTTGAGCTTCAGTAGTGGTACCACTGGGCTTCCTAAAGCTGTATGATTGACTTCCCGCTGCTGTTGGATTGTACTTACTCTTTAGGTCATGATCGCCCATCATAATGTTATTGCTCAATGCATGCAAGTCCAACAAGTGACTCCGGTGGATTACAAGAGAGCACTCGCCGTATTACCTCTTTTTCACAGTGAGCCGACCCTCTTCATTCTTTCCATGACAAAGCTAACTAGATAGTCACCGGTCTCGTACACCAGATGCACCTCCCAGTCCTCCTCAACATCGAGGTCGTGATGATTCCATCCTTCACAATGGACAGTATGCTGAAAGCCGTCTCTGAGTACAAGATCTCAGACCTGCTTCTCGTACCTCCACTTGTTATCCGCTTGGTGCATGATTCCACCACTTCAAAATACGACCTTTCTCACGTCACTCGTTTCACCTCAGGCGCCGCACCCATCTCCGGCGAACTCTTACAGAAACTGGAGGTCAAATTTCCCCAAACCGGCTTCAAGCAGGGATACGGCATGACAGAATCCTGCAGCTGCATCACCACTCATCCCCCGGAAAAACAATCGTACAACTACGCAGCGCGCGTGGGTACCATCGTTGCTAATACGGATGTCAAGATAATCGACGTCGATACCGGCAAGGAGCTTGGCTACAACGAGCAGGGCGAGATCCTTGCTCGTGGACCGCAGATTACCATGGGATACTTGAACAATGTGAAAGCGACCCGCGAGACGTTCGATGCAGAGGGCTGGCTGCACACGGGTGATGTGGGCTATATCGACCACGAAGGCTTCATCACAATCACGGACCGCATTAAGGAAATGATCAAAGTCAAGGGGATTGGCGTGTCGCCGGCAGAATTGGAAGATATTCTGCTGGGCCATGAGGCTGTCGCTGATGCTGCTGTTACTTCAATCCCTGATGCGTATTCTGGAGAACGGCCCAAGGCGTTTGTGGTTGCGAAAGAAACTGGTCTTGATGAAGCGGCTCTAGTGGAGCTTGGGCGACAGTTGATTAAGTACGTTCATGATAACAAGGTCCGGCACAAGGCGGTTGCGGAAGTAGAATTTGTAAAAGAGATTCCTAAGAGTGCGAGTGGGAAGGTCTTACGAAGAATGCTTAGGAACAAGCCTGCTAGTGGACTGGTGGTTCGTGAGAATGTGCGGGCAAAGCTATGACCCCATAGATGAAGCCAAATTAGGACAGATATCAAATACTTCAATGCTTTAAATTATACTTATACGGCATACTGAGTGGAATTATACAGGTCACAGCTTAGTTAACACCCAACGCCTTAAGAATTTCCTGTCCAACACCAGTAGCACTAGCCGGGTTCTGACCGGTAATCAAAACCGCTCCATTACTCGTCTTCGAAACAACAACCTTCTCACCCCAAGGCTGGTCAGCCTTAACATACTGACCACCCGTCACCCGGACGAGCTCATCCTCAAGCATGTACGGCATAAGAGAAGTGAGACCAGCCTGGTCCTCCTCGACATTCGAGAAACCTGTCACAGCAGACGCGTTGGTGAGCAGAGGCTGTCCGGAGGCAGAAGTTGCGCGGAGGAAGACAGTGGGACCGTGGCAGACGGCCGAGACGGGCTTCTTGGCCTCGGAGAAGGATTGGATGAGGGCCAGGGAAGTAGGGTCGTAGTGTAGGTCGTACATGGCTGCGCTGTACGTTAGCTATCACCCCACAACATAACATATAAAGGAACAGGTAACCTACGTCCATGACCACCCACGTAGAAGACTGCATCGAACTCGTTAACCTTCGGCAACACATCCGCCAACTTAACCGTGTTCTTCCACAACTCCTGGCTGTTCTGCAGGAAGTCTGCGGAGACAGGGTCGTTCTTGAACATCTCGACGGAGTTAGGGTCGAGGGGTGCCTCGCCGCCCTTAGGCGAAGCAATGACCAGCTCGGCCTTATCCTTCAAGACATGGTAGGGGTGTGCAAATTCAGGCTGTTTTTGTTAGAATGTCTGCAGACTAGGTAGGGGGTGGACGTACGAGATACCAGCCAGTGGGCTTGCCATTGGCGGGGAAATGGTCGTGGGAGGAGAGGACGATGAGAACTTTAGGGGCCATTATGCCTGTTTGCAATTGACTAAGTTGCTGTAGGAGAATAGTATAAACTGCAGGGTAAAGGGGTCTGAAGTATCTGTAGAGAAGCAGAACCCTGAGAATAATGACGTCACGCGGGGCAGAGCTTAGTCACGCTGATTAATTGAACTTAAATTCGGGAATTCCTCGGCATTAAGGAGCTACTCTATCAGGTCGAAGCTGGCTGATGCCCAAATTTCGGTTTTATACAGATATCGGTTTCACTTCCTTGAAGGAGCAGGGCTGAGTCTCTCAATTGGCAAATAAACCGCGCATTGCGGCTACAGATGAGCCAAAACCGCATCAACCCCAGAGACCTATCACAGTTAGCATGCTATATGTAGCAACTCAATCGATGAAACTAACCTTGACACCCTTCTCCTTCTCAATATCCGCATACACCACCTTTCCATGATCAATCACCATAGCCCAGCGTCCGGTCCGGCCATTGTTCGCCCATCCGAGCTGCTGCGCGAAGCGGGCATCGGGGTCGGACAGGAAGAGCTGCTCATTAGTATCGGCATTCATACCCTCTGTGTATCTATTGGGTTGTAAAGAGACATACCATATCTTCCTTTACCCCATTAGCCTTCCCCCAAGCACTCATAACAAACGGATCGTTGGAAGCCACGACAGCAACCACATCGACACCTTTACCCTTGACTTCGGAAAGACGCTTCAGGTAACCCGGGAGATGCTCAACAGAGCAAGTAGGTGTAAATGCACCGGGAACAGAGAAGAGGACGACCTTTTTATCGGCCCATTCCTTGGAAGCGTTGTAGGCGATCGGGATGCCGCATGAGGTGACCTCCTGGCTCTCGGGAGCCCAGGGGATGTGTCTATCGCGTTACGGTTAGAGTTGTTTTATCTGATGGATTTAAGGGTGTGGGATATGTACTGGAAGACAACGTCAGATGGGAAAGAGTCGCCGGGCTGCATTTTGGCTGTGTTTGGTAGAATTGGAGAGGTGAAGTGGAAGCGGGGTATTTATATTGGTGGGTTCGGTGATGTGATGTTTGCTATGATGCTACTAGTAACACAATTTATACCACAATTCTGCTTATTCAGGGTCCTCGTATGGCTTCGCACCAAAATAACGCCAAACCATTGCGCTGTCCAATTCCTCTCGCTTGTTTTTCATCGAAAATACCATATCCGCCTTGCCATCATTCATATACACCAAGTTCTTCCTGAGTCCCATAGTCAACTTGGTGACGCCCTCCCACCACTTTGACTGATATGCAACCAGCTGCTTCCTCTGGATCTGCCGGACGATGTTCAATGCTACAATTTGTGCTTGTTCGATAGCCGCCCGGCCATTCTTGATGATGTCCTTGTCGACAATGTCGCCTGCTGCGTAAACATTATCCATGGATGAATCGACTAGTTGCAGCGTTGATCGGACTTGGATGTGGCCTGAGGAAGAGACCGAGGATGATAAAAGCTTCGAATTGGGTTTTTGACCGATGCATTTGACCTGCGACAGTTAGTACGCGTTCTTTTATTGCCAGGAGAGAAGCATACCAAGCAGTCGCACGATATCTTCTCGCCCGTGCTCAGCGTCAATTCTGTTGTCCCGTCCGGTGCAGACGGCCGCTCACCCAGGATGACTCGAACGCTCAGCGTCTCTAACTCGTCCAATACGCGCTGACGCATGTCTGCCCCAAAGTGTCCATTCAACAGCGCCCCGTGCGAATGGATCAGGGTGACATTCTTTTCCTGATCTTCAGTCTTCACGTCGGCAGCCAGTTCAATCCCAGCCGGTCCACCCCCGATAACAACAACATCGCGCCCTTCGCGCAAACACCGTTGTTCTTGTTGTACCGCCAATATCCCATCTTCCTTACTCTCCTCTCCAACACGAGACGGCAACGTAGCCGACGACCCCGTCGCCAACACCAAATACTCGTAGTCAATCTCTTCTCCTGACCGTAGCTCGACTTTCCCTTGTCCGTTCCTCTTTTCGTCAGGGACGATGGCAGTCACCTCATCACACACCCACCTATACGCCGAACCCGGCGCTTTAGCTAGATAAGGCCCATATGGTATAAACGCCTTGGACTCGTGTCCCTTCACCGCACAAAATCGGGGTAAGACCCACGTAAGCTGAAAATGCGAGTTCTTTTCAATCACCGTCACGCGGTAGCCGGTGGGTAGGGAGTGCGCTAGACAATAGGCTGTGTGGTAGCCGGCGAAAGAAGCGCCGATAACGACAATGTCGCGGGGGTTGCTGACGGGACGGTAGGTGATGCGGTGGATGACGGAGGTTATCTTGAGGCGGAGACGGGAGAAAAGGTGGTGGAAGGCAAGGAGGAGGATTTTGTTAATTAGGATGATTTTAGAGAGCATTTTAGGCTTTGTATGCTAGAAGGGACGGCGTATTCGCAGTCTATATACTGATTGATCTTATCAGATCCGATATCGGCTATTTACTCGTATTAGTACTCGTGCTCTATGGCCATGCCAATCTGGTACTTTTAAACTTCACTTTCCTCTATACAGGCATCCCTATGTGCTAGAATCGAATTGATGCGACGAGGCGAAGAGAGAAATGATGGAGGAAGAGTACAGAGGTGAATAGGCGTATCTACAGAGTAAAGTCTCTTTCCCTTCTTATCTCCTACAACTAACCACTTCTCCTGACATCTTTCTGATCTTACCAGTTACCTTGTCTTTCGACTCACTTCACTCATAATGACTACCACTAGACCTGAAAAACATCTGGACGTCACCACGGTTGATGGTACATACTGGCGTCGTTCAGTACTAACCGGTAATAGGGCAGAATCTGATGGGTAGGCCTCGAAATGGGACCGCAAACCAAACCGGACCACACCACAGCAGTCCAGTTAAGACCGGCGTGTTACAGACCTAACCACATCAGCCTCACGTGATGATGCGGGGAGTCTGAAATGGGTTCCGTCGGAGGTTCAGGGGAAACCGGAGGAGTCGATCATCCGACTGCACGAGGCCTATATGTAGAAGACCCAATTGAAACGAACGATTGATATACCCTATCTAACGTAGCCTAGAGTACACGGGTGCTTGAGTGCTTGATGAGTGCTTGTCTGTCTATATGTGGCGAACGCTGGCGCTGATCCTCTCGCAGCCCTTCGAGCTGCGTCTTGTCTATGTATCTGTAGATAGCCTGTCCTGTAGCTTAACCTGTTCGTCAATTCCTAACATAACTGTACCTGACCCTGCACCCTGACAGCTAGTGCCTCAGGAGCCTATGGGGATAAAAGACTGTAGAATAACTACCGGCCTCAAGTCCACGAATAAGGGTCTATCATAGCTCTAGGGCTCGGTATGGACAATAAACTTGATTATATAATGATAATACTAATACAATGTACTGCATTTGTATGGCATTAAAAAGCTTCAATTTGTTGACTTGGTCGAATACGCGAGCGCGTTTTGGTAATGGTGGCGGACCGCCGCCAGCACGCTGTCCGATTACGTTACAAGATCATTTCTTACCAATTCATCCAGTAAGTAGGAGAAAGTGCAGAATAGTATTGTCATAACCAAACTAGTCTGGAATAGGATAAAGTAGCGAATTTTATGCTAGCGCGGATATGTGTTGGACATCCAATGGATATCCGCAGTTGGACTTGGATGTAGGGACCGCATCCAAGTCGTACGATATGCCGCAGCCTAATCGGGAGTCTATACCAGAAACGACAAAACTAGCCTGATCAGAGAATTCACAGATCCTGGTTTTACAATACTAATGTTGAATAGCATGCTATCTATTTTATGACTCTGAACTAGTAGTGCTCTCCCGCTCAATAGCCATATCAATCTGGTAATTCTTGAACTTCCGACTCGGCACCTTCCTTTCAAACAGGATATCCAGCTCCTCAAATGTCCGTCCTTTCGTTTCCGGTAAGCAAAAGAAGCAATATACCAGACACAATAGCGTCGTTCCCGCAAACAGAAACCCTAACTTTCCGCCCCAGTTCGCCTCGTCTTTATCCATAGCATACGGAATAGCCACAGCGAACACAATCGACCAGACGAAGCAGCTGACCGTCGACAGAGCAACAGTTGCCCCGCGCAGCCTTGCAGATGACACCTCCGCCAGCAGTACGTAGCAGAAAGGCCCCAGAGTCAAGTCATACACTAACGTGCAAACGATCATCAGACCGCACTGTGCCCAGGTAGCACCTTCATTGCCGCTGTCATCTTGCGGTGCGATAGCGTCTACTAGACCGATTGAGAGCTGCAGCGCGCAAAGAACAGTGCACCCGACGAGATACACAGGTCGTCGACCAACCCATGACAGAAGCGTCCATGAGACGCAAGTTCCCACGAGGCCGATTGCAGTCATGCCGAGGTTCATAGAGAACGCATCCGATGAGCTCAACCCGGCGACTTCCATGAACTGCACGGCATAGCTGATGAAGAAGACGTTACCGGCGAAAGCCTGCATGTCGTATGCCATGACGCAAATAATCAGTCGACGGAGATCAGGCCCGCGGAAACATTCCAGGTAGTTCGGTCGATTGGAGTGGTTTTTGAAACTTGCTTCTAGGCGGAGAGTTTCTTGGATATGTGCTAATTTGAGACTAACGTCGATTTGCGGCGTGGCTAGTCTGCGCAGAGAGCGTAGGGCAGCATCTGTCTTGCCTTTCCGGCAGAGCCAGTATGGCGGATCTGGACAGAAGGCGACAGACGAGAGGATGACGACGGGCATGATCCATTGCGTTGCGATGGGGATTTTGTACGACCATATGGTGTCTATTGACTCAGTGCCTTTGAGGATACCAGATGCGATGAGCGAACCAATCGAAAACGCTAGGTTTGTCATGGAAGCTACGCATCCGCGCAGCGCCAACGGCGTGACTTCACTGACATACGCCGATGCGCAAATGGGATAAAATGCGATGATGCAGCCATTGATCAATTGGCCGACGAATAGTTGTGCCGGCGTGTGACTGAAGAACTGCAGGAAAATAAAAGCGATTGACAGACATGAGCAGATCGTCATCATCAGCCGCGGACCGAACCGGTCATAAGCCGGGCCGGAACATAGCGCGCCAACAATGGCCCCGAGAAGATTGGCATAGTTAAAGGCCGAGATCCAATGCGCAGCGATGACATACTCGCCATTATAGTTATAGCCGTATGTGTGTTTGAAAGCGTCGAGGCCGACGAGACCGCGTACGACACCTCCGTCAATGCCTTTGAGAATAGTTGCCTGTGTCGGTCAGCATCTGCTTGAAAACTTTTCTTTCTCGGAACATACAAAATTGATAAACAGGCCCCAAAGGAAGGCCGGCCAGTTTAAACGAAGGGCCTGCCAGAAGCCGGTCGAGTGCTCGTGGATTGTAAACTGCTGCGATTTTTCCGCATCCTGGGCGTCGGAGGGAGGGATTGCCTGGACGAGAATTTCTTTTTCAGACATTTCAAATATCTGGTTCCCCCTTCTTCTCGCTGTTCAGTTCCTTGGGGGTTGTCAATTGACCGTCGTGAAAATTTTCCGCCAAGAGATACTACTATTCGATGCGGGGGTCTTATCGCATGCATAGATGCATCAAAGCGTGAAAACGTGAAAACAAAAACCGCTCAATGTTGATTCTAACATGGCCTATCGATGCAATAGTAAATACACCTCCTTGGACGCCCGATGCCTCGCTTCTTTCTTACCTTTTCCTTCGCCGACTGCCGAGACGCCCCGATAACTCGCCGTCCCCCGCCAAATCGGCGGAGTCTGCTGGATCATAGTCTCGGTATGCTGCGGCACCACGCCTTGGATATCGCCCATTTCTTTCAGCAGTGATGTATACCTTGCTAAATCGGCATCTGTTTCTGGTCTTCCTTGCTCCGGTAAAGTAGACGAGGCAGGAGGGTCTGGGATCTGTTGCAGATGGTCTTCTAGGATCTGCTGGATTTGGTCCATTTGGGCAGCCGGGTAGGCTTGGTAGGCTGTTCCTAGGAACAGGTACAAGCTATCTCGGGCGGTTTTGCCGGTTCCTGGTAAGGGGAATTGCAGACTGACGATACGGCAGAGATCGGGGAAGGGGAGGCGGGGCTCTAAATTTATAAGGCGGTTCTGGTAGTTTGTTGCTTGTCAGTTTGTGGTGTTTAGTGAGGTGCCGTTGTGTTGACACACCTGGAGCTGGTCCGTCGGAAGGTCGGATCGGACCAGCCATCGGGCTAGGAATGATTGCATAAAAAGATGGCCGAGCCAGATGGCTGTTTATTAGCTAGCTACATTGTATTGCGCTTGGAAAGGAAATACCTCGTGCATCCCGTTGGTCGTCCATTGTGCAGATAATCTGATAATTTGATATCCCACAGGAATTGGAGAAATATATTTATTTGCGCATCACATGACTAAGTATATGCAATCTTATCTTTCAAAACATCGAGTAAATATTTCATAACACATGGACATAAATCAATAATGATACCGGAACTCCAACTCCCCATCACCTGTCACGACACGCCTGGTATCCTCCTTGCCCTGCTCAATCTCACTCTTTTCCTTATTCTTCGCCCGGACATACAACGCATGCGCGGAAACCACGCCCTGCGCTACAATCAACGAACCCAGCGAAAAGGAATTCCCAAGAACATAGGGTGAACTGCGATAGATCTGTCCGGCGACGATGCCGGCGCAATTTCCCACTGTTTGTTGGATGCCGATGGCTAGTGCTCGGCGGTAGTGCGGTGCGACGTTGACATTTAGCCAAGCAATGTTTAGGCCAACGCTGGTGTATGTGGCTATGCCGCAGAGGAATGTTGCGAAGTATCGAACTGCGTCGTTGGAAACGGCTAGAAGGAGGATGTAGCCGGCGATACCGAAGATGTTTGAGCCAAGGATGAACTACATAATTAGTATTCGCAGATGAAACCGGGGGAAAAAGCATACCCAAGCAAAAACCGAGAACCGATCCGCCAAAACCGCAATCACAATGAACACAATCGCAGCCCAAATATAAACCGGCACCGTCAACACATTACTCATGAGCGAATCATAACCAATACTCTGCAGAATGCCCGGCAGGAACGTGCTGAACCCATACAACAGAATATCCTGACAGAACTGCGTGACGCTGCTGAACATGAGCTTCGGATCGCATAGGGCGATGCGCATCTCTGCCCAGCTGAACTCTTCACTGCCCATGTAGTGCCGGCGTTGCTCGTTGCGGACGCGCATCATCCATTTGTCTTCGTCGTTGAGGAAATAGGCGTTTGCTGGGTCGTTGGGAAGGCCGAACCAGATCAGGATTGCGCAGAGAGCACTGAAGAGGCCTTCAATTATGTAGACCCATCTGTTTGATTAGTATTTGCTCCTTCAGAGTGGTTTTGAGTAGTTACCTCCATCCGGCTTTCCCTCCAATGCCATCCATCTGCAACAGCCCATACGCCAATAACCCCCCAACGGCACCAGAAATAGCCGCACAGCTCATCAGATACGACACCCGCTTAGCTTGCTCCTCCCTCCGATAAACCATCGTCAGATACAAATTCAAACACGGAAACAACCCCGCCTCACAAGCGCCCAAAATCAACCGCATAGCATACAACGATGCCACATTCTGAATAAACCCCGTGAAGATCGTACAAATTGACCACACAATACAGAGCCCTGTGAGAATATTCCTCGGCGTCAACCTCTTCATCAGCACCGCCCACACAGACTCCAGCAGCACATAGGTCACGTAGAAAATCGACACCGCCGTCGAAAACTGACTAGGCGACGCACCGATGTCCTCAGGCATCCCTGCTACCTGCACATTCCCGATACTGCTGCGGTCGAGGAAGCATGATAGGTACGTAAGCATGATTATCGGGACAAAGGCTAGGTCGAGCTTGAGGAGGAGCTTCTTCTCCTTTTCTGGGTCGAGGGTGACGGATTGGAGTTCTTTGATTTGGTCATCTTGGGGCTCGGTGACGGGTTGAATCTCCTTCTCAGTGAGTGTGTCCATTGTGTTTATTCCTATGCAGAAGGCAGGCCTCTCTCTACTTGTATCTCCGTATACCTGGATAAATGTTATCAACAGCATGTCTATCTCGGAATGTGCACCCGATGCTGTCGGGCCGATGTAGCTATCTGATAAGCTGGAGATAGTGGAGATAAACACTATGCGGGGCCCCGGATTTGGCTGTCAGGGGTTGCCGAGGTAGTATATATGTGAAGATAAATATTAGAGCCTATAGAGTAAATGGCAGGAGCAATTGAACATACACATCGCAAGACACAATGGAATCCCGCCTCCTCGCCCGCACCAACAAAATCACAAACACCTCCGGCTTCTCCCCCACCCACCTGCAAGCAAACCTCCTAATCCTTCCCTCCGTCCACGCCAAATCCTTCCATGACCTCTGCCGCCGCAATCCCGTCTCCTGCCCATTACTCGCCACAACATCACCCGGCTCCCCACACACCCTCCAACCACCCAAAACCATCCAATCGACCGACTTCGACATCCGCACGGACTGTCCCGCCTACCGCGTCTACAAACAGGGGAAATGTATCGAAAAACGCCGCGATATCCTCGACCTCTGGACTGACGATCATGTCGGCTTTCTAATCGGTTGCTCGTTCAGTTTCGAAGACGCGCTGGAAAGCGCGGGATTGAAGCCGCGGCACCAGGAGACGGGGACCGTTGTACCAATGTATCGGACGAATCTGCCGTTGTTACCTGCGGGCATTTTCACGAGTGCTACGTGTATTGTATCGATGAGGCCGTATAAAGCTGAGGATGTTGAGAGGGTTAGGAGTGTTACGAGGCGGTATTTGGCGACGCATGGGGAGCCGGTTGCTTGGGGGTGGGAGGGGATGAAGAGGTTGGGGATCGAGGATATTCAGAAGCCGGATTTTGGGGAGGCGCCTGTTGTTAGGGAAGATGAGGTTCCGGTTTTCTGGGTGAGATTTCCTTCATTGACCTCTTTTATGGCTATTCTAATGTATTTAGGGCTGCGGCGTTACACCACAAATTGCAGTTGAATCCGCTGGCGATAAGATTGACGGACTTGTTTTTGCCCACGAGCCTGGGAACATGCTAATAACTGACCTGACTGACGAAGATGCCCGTATTATATAACTGCAGCTAGAAACAATCCTTCATAACACTGGATAACTCTCCTCCGTAATCCAGCATAGCCAATCCGTCTTCCACACCTGTATTCGTGCCCGGAATTCCCATAGCCATCAATGTATCCAGATTCCCCACTGTTTCAAACCACTCCATCAACTCTTGTGTCATCTGGTTCCCGTCTAATGGTGTGGCTTGCATTGTTGACGAGGTGGGCACGTCACCCAATGAGCCATTCTCTTGAGCCTGGTGCTGCTGCTGATGCTCATGCGACAACCCTAGCTGCGGTCCGAGTTTTCGCAAACTTTTAATCGACTTCCACAGCCGCTGTGAAATATACGACTGTGTTGAGAATCCCTTGACTAGTTCCAGCGCCATGTAAAATTCTTCTTTACACCCGCGATTGAACTGTCCTGGTGCTTGCGCGGCGGCCAGAAACAGAACTGCTAACGCGGATACCAAGAACCAGTTGAAAGTGACTTGTTGTCGACTGTAAATATCGGATGTTTCGTGCAGACGCGCAATGAAGCGGATCGTGTCTTTGGCTAGATCAACCACTGTCGCGGACTCACCGGGATAGCGACGGATATGTGCTGCTGTATGTAGGACAGGACGGTGGATAAGCATGCGCAGCTGGTTCGCGCGAAGATACAACACCGCGCGCAACCTCCGCAAACTCCTTGGCTCATCTTCTTGATCGCCACCCAACCGTAAACACTCCGGCATCGTCTCCGCCCACCTCAACACCTGCCAATCCAAATAATTCATCTCATCCTTCTTGATCTCATCCGTGTTATTAAACGCCGCAATCAACTTCCACACCTTCGCCGCGATCCGACTATACCGTATCATAACCCGTAGATACGGGAAATTCTTCTCCTCGGGTTCAGGAAGCCAGGGGTCGATATCGCTTTCTTCGAGGAAAAAGGGCATGCCCGTGCCGAAACTCCAGCGGAGGTCGAGGATGTAGACGGACCAGAAGAGGCGGGAGAGTCGGTCTTTGCTGCCTGCTGAGGCGAGGAGGGAGAGTTGGTCTAGGGTTTCGCGGCGGTGGAGGCCTGTTTCGAGACACATGCGTTCGACGATGCCGATTGTGCGCCAGGCGAGGGTTTCTTCGTCCATTTGGAAGTAGAAGATTGACTGTTTGTTTAGACCAGGCTATTATGATTGAGTGTGAGTAACTCACCACCAATGTCAAGAAGATAATGTGATCTATATCTGGCGCTCCCCAAACACAATCATCCGCGACAACGCGCACACTCTCAAACAACCTCACAGCCAGTTCACTCCCCCCACTCGCTTCAGCAGCCAACGCACAGGCAAGCACAATCCTCAAAATATGTAAATCCCCCTTCAAACTCCCCTCATCCGACCCCCCATCACCATATAAAACATGTACCTGCCCCAACAATTCCTCCATCTCCAAAATAGGATACATAATCCCCATCTCTTCCTCATAGACCCTACATAACCGTAGCACCTCGCTCTTCCCAATCATCCACAACGGATCAACCGGGCCTCGTGCTGGCGAAGGTGGCGACGGCATCGGCGAGGGCTCCTGCGTTAAATCACCATCTACATCTTCGTCGTCGCCGTCGACGACACCGACTATTCCGCGCTGTTGGAGGCTGGATTTTGCGAGATCGAAGCTGAAGGCTGAAGTCGTGGGGCCTTGGAAGGTGAGTGCTTCTCTGGCGGACGAGAGGCGGCGGGTCCATGTTTGGGGTTGGGGGTGTGCGTATGGTTGTGTGGTATTCTCGGGGCGCGAGATGCCATTGGCACTGGTTAGGGTGTAGACGGCGGAGGAAAGGAGGGAAATTTGTTCTTGCATGGTGCTCATTTGGTGGGAGAGGCGGTCGAGGGTTCTATTGTGGTGTTTGTTAGCTTCGCATTCATTTCCCGGGCACGGTTTCCGGGCTGTAGGCGAACGTACAGTGCATCGCCCATACTCCGTTGATTATCCGCATAGACACAATCGATACGCTGCCGGCCGCATCGCTGGCATGGTGTCTGGCCGTTACATTTGATCTTGCGACGCTTGCATTCGTTGCTGTGCGTAAACAATCCCATTAGCATTCCGCTATTTCCGAGACGAGACCATATCAAACCAATTGGCACATACCACGCTTTGGCAATATACTTGCGACGCTTTTTCTGCGGCCGAATATGGTCGTCGTGATAGTCGCTTATTTCGTCCATGTTTGTAATTGAAGGGATATGATATGGTATAAGGGAATGTGCGGATTGTGAGGACACCCGTAAATTCGGTAGAGAAATGCGGGGATGGACGTGGAGATGACACCTCGGGCCGTAACTCGTTCGGAATGTATACCAACTTACGAGGATAGGCGTATTATTCATTGTATATTTCGTGTTGCATTCATAACTATCATACTCCATCTTTTTATACTCTTACACAGAGAACATAACACCGAGCAATCAAAAACTACAACCCCTTAGTCTTCTCCTCACTCTCTGCAATCCACTTTTTCACCAAATCCGCATCCCGAGGCTTAAACCCCACCTTGAACGGCTTCGGCTCCGTCGTCAGCGCCGTCGGAATCGCATTACACTCAATCGCGTCCAGAATCGGCCGGTCGGCCGGGTCTTTTGCCGGGTGCATCGTGAACGCCACGATCAGACGGACGTATGCGGTGTACAGTTCGCGGTTGGCCAGGTGCGAGCCGGCGCACATGCGGGAGCCTGCGCCGTAGCCGTAGTGTGGGGTGCCGGAGCCTTCACCGAGATTGAGGTAGCGTTCCGGGAGGAATTGGTTGGCATTTTGGAAGTGGGATTCGTCGTAGTCGGCGGCCCAGGCGTTCTGTCTCGTTAGCATCGAGTACGCAGAATAGGGGGAGAGGGGCGTACCATGAAGAAAGTAGTTCCGGCGGGGATGTGAGCTCCGTTGAAGTTAATGTCCTTGGTGCTCTCGCGAGGCAGGCAGATGGGGATGACAGTCCAGAAGCGCAGGGTTTCTTTGACCATAGCCGTGACATAGGGCACCTTCTCCTCGACCAGGCACTTATCCCACGCGTCGCCGTCAGGGTAAACCTTCATAATCTCCTCGTAGGCCTTCTTCTGAATGCGCTGTCCATCCTCCGAAGCGAAATAGGCGACACCCATAACCAGATTCCCAGGAACCGTATCTAACCCTGCAGAAACCATAGTCAAACAAATAGACTTGACCTCATCATCATTCAACTTGGCCTCCGGATCCTTGAGAATATTCCCAGTAATGCACGGCTTATCAGTCCCCTTCGCAATGCGATCCTTCAAGATATTCAACAAATAAGTCAAATACTTGTCCCTTCGCACCCGAAACTCATCAGCCTCGCGATTCATCTTCGGAAAGATCCTCAGCAGCGGGATATAATCCTGCCAGTTATTACTGGTACTCCTGAAGTTTGAAACACCACGCTCAACATCCACAATCTCCTGCAGCAACTCATCTGTGACATTGCCCGTGATTCGGAACCCATAGTTCAGCGTGAGACTCGTGTTCAGCGCGAACCGCTGGAAGTACTTTGTCGGATTGACGTCTACCGTCCCGTCCTTGGAATCATGCAGCAGCTCGCTGATGCTCTGAGTCGCCTCGAGGTCGATGATGGGCATGTAGGACTGCACGGCGGGGCGGTTCAGGGCCGTTGCGGCGGCCTTGCGACGGCGCTTGCACGACTCATCCCAGGGGGATGTGCCGATGGTGAAACCCTGGGAACTGGAGACGACGCTGTGGAACGTGTGGAATGTTGGGCGCGAGACGAGGGCGGATTGGTCTTTGATCCAGAGTTGGCGGACGGAGTCGAAGGAGTTGGCGAAGATGATGCGCTGTTTTGTTAGCATCAATATTCAAAGACAGAGGAGGGGAAATTGGGATACCTTATTGCCCATGCGCACCTGGAATACAGGCCCATACTTCTTCGCCCATTTCCCCGCAACAGTAGCATGCTGATCCCCCAGTTGCAACAAATTCCCAAATAGCGGGATGCCAGGAATCTCAGGCAAGTTTTTGATCTTGGGGATATCAGTGCGATTCAAATAGCGAATAATAAAGTATACGACGGTGACGACCGCGATCCCGATCGTTGTGGCCGTCATTTTGCTGCAACAACTATACCAAGTAGTGATTGAAAATGTCCTGAGAAGAACACCACCTCAGCCGCAGACACACGACGCTTTATATCGGCTTCATAGTGTTACGACGGGAGTATTCCGTGGCCAGTAAAGGACAAGATGATTACAGTCGTGAGCAGCGGACTTGGGTCTCCTCTTTTGGTTATCCGATGTATGAGGGCGGGATTTCGGGGGGTTATTCCGCGGGGCGGAAGGAAATGCCGCGATGACCGGGGGTGTTGGATTAAGATTATTGTGCCTTGTATACCCCGGATTATGCTGCTTTGGCTGGCAAGGTGATATTGCTGTAGGATGAGAAGTATGCACTCTGTCATCGTGGTCTAGGGGCTACACTGCGGTAAATATTATACGAGTATCATAATAATTTTAGGGATTACGGCTACAATGGAAAGAGAGTAGTCATAAGTCATACATTCATAGCAACATAGTAACATAGCTACATAGTAAGTCATGCCATAACAATGCGTGGTATCGCGTAAGGGTATCTAAAATCCAAATCCAACCACTCCTAAGCGAGAAACCGAAACCAAGCAAGTCAGATGCAAAGAGAAGGTATGTTCACGCCTTCTCCGACTCATAGCTCACTCTCCTCCCACCATGCTTCTGCCGATCCGCCTCAAGCGTCTGCGCAAACTTACTGCTAGCCCTTATCTGCGGCCCCTTCCAGTAGAACACATAAATTGGAATCGTTACGAAAATAGCCAAACACCCGAGAATAGTGCTAGCCCACTGCAAATGGAACTTGCCGCCGATGTTCTTGTACATAGGTGTGGCGTACATCGCGGACAAACCGGCGAGCAGGTCTCTCGCGAAACCGTTGCCACCAGTTGCTGAGGCAGAGTAGGCGCCGTAGGCGGCTACCATGTAGTCGATGGTTGCCATGTAGATGCCGTAGTTGGCGATGGCAATTAGGAAGACGAAGATGAGGGGCGCGATCCAGTGGGTGTATTCGGGTCCCATGGAGGTCCAGGCGAAGCCGAAGAGGCCGATTGTTTCGAGTGGTGCGATGAAGAGGAGGAGGAGGAGACGGCGCTCAGGGAGGCGGGATGCGTTGCCGTGCTGTTGGCGAACCCAGCGTTGGCGGGCAATGTCTGGAAGGAAGATTAGGTAGGCAACGACGTAGCCGATGATGACGGCGATGAAACACAGACCAGTATGGACGGCGTCGAAGTTCCAAAGAGCAAAGACGAGAGTGAACGATTCGATGCAGGTGAAGATCAGAGCATCGGAGAAACCGGAGAGCAACGACAGGAACAGAACGATGGGCTCACGGAGGAACATCTCAAAAGGACGACGCCAGATGCGCAGGATTTCCTTCACTTCAAAGCGGTTCTCCTTGAGTTCATTGGGACCGTAGACGTCGGGGTCTTCCCCAGACTTGCGACGACGCTTGGCCTCACGGTCGATGAGAATAGTTGAGCGGGTCTCGCTGACGAAGAACAAATGGGAAAGCTGGGTGACACCGCCGAAGATGAGCTGAATCCAAAAGTTCCACTCCAAGGGAAGCCACTGTTGAATCATGCCACCAAACAGAGGACCAATGGTGGTACCGCCCACCGACGACAGGACAACATATGCCACAGCAAAACCTTGATCGTCGGGTTCCCACATATCAGCTGTCATACCCAGAGTAACTGAGCCGCCCGCAGAGCTCAGACCACCAAGGAAGCGACAGACAACGATAGTGCCAAAGTTAGGTGCCAGGGCACAGGGGATCTGCCAGATATTGACCAGGAACAGACTGAGCTGCATGATTGGCCAGCGACCAAACTCTTCACTCCAAGGAGCCCAGAGCTCGCAACCAAAAGCGTATGCGACCAAGAAAATCATCTGTCCCACACGAGCAGCCTGCTCACTGATATCGAATTTCTCGGACAACGGTGTGACGGCATTGGGATAAACACTGGTGTTGAAGTTCATGGACATCTGGACGGTGAAGATAACCGAGAGGATGGCCCATTTCTTGTACCGAGGGAAAGAGAATCCGAGCTTGTCGTAGCACTCGTCTTCAGTCAATTCCCTTTTGCCATCGGAGCGGACCTTTCCCCGGGAGTCGCTGTCGTTATCCGAAGAGATAGCGTGTTCATGGTGCGAGTCGCCGGGTTGTCGGGCGTCGTTGTAATGATTGTTACCTTCACTCTGAACGGGATCTCGGTATTTGTCTTTTTCTGTAAAATAGGGTGCCATTGTGAAGTATCAACGGCGATAGAGTGTAGCGAACAGTAGATAAGACAAGATACTATGGAAATCTGGGGAAGAGATAAATGGAGAATGTAAAGTATGGAGAACGAAAGAACCTAGGCACCAGATGATATGCAAGGATGATAACAGAATGAGTATGCGAGTATGCAAGTGTGAGTAGAAAAAGAAAGAAAACAGCCATTCTTATAAGTCAAACTCCGGTGCCTGTCGGAGGAGTACATACTTCCGGATCAGGAGAAGTCATACAAGGACATACTCTGGTTGAGCCTGATCTCGGCTTCATCGACGTCACCGAAGGGTGGTCGGCCAATCGTGCATCCCATAGATGAATCTATCGGAGCCTTGTTTACTTCGGTATCTTTGTCCTATGTACGATTGATGGCACATACACTTTCTCTCTCTATGCTTGCTTGTCCTCTGTCTCTCACATCTCTCTCTGTGTCTTCAGCATTCTTTATGTCTACTGCATGCATCGGAGTATAGACTGCTGTATACTTTTAATATTGCCACATCCCCGGGCTCGGCAGACGCCTTTCTCTGATTGGTAGACTAAGCGATGAGAGGCGCTAACCCCAGTGAGGTCATTCCGGCGGATACCAATAAAGTCTCTAATTGGACAACCACCCTCTCTGACGCCATCGGCTACCATTTCGGGATGTCCATATTATTCTCCGGAGATGCACACGGCAAGCTGGTTCGGTCACGTCGCATTCGGCCCGTGTTGGATGATTGAGATGACTGGTCCACTACCCCTGTATGTACAGAGTAACACTCTTGTCTTACTCAGAGACCCTTGTATGACATCACGGGGGTGGGCCGGTCTACTTGAACGGGTACGATGCATAGATATCCATCTTGTGTATGAGTAGTACTCCTGGTGTATGAGGCGGTTTATGTCGTGGATATTAAAGCATGATTCAAGGAAGTATCCTTGTCCTTTTCCTCGTCACGAAATATATGGTTCAATCAGCTCCTCGGATTCATCGGCCTCTAGTACGGAATTTCTTTTCTTCTTGTTTGTCCTCCTCTCAGGCCATGTTGTAACAATGCCGGTAGACAGTTTCTGCGGTTTCCCCGTGTTCCTGTCTATCAGTACTCTACAGAGACTAGGTAAGAGTACGATTGTTGTCATTCAGGTGTACACATACCAAGAACTGTCTATACTTTGTAGGTTCTCGTAAAACGCAATTACCATCGGAATTGCCTAATCCTATTCTCTGAACGACCCAGAAACCACAAATCAAGAATACCCCGACTCACGGATCCCCAGCAGATAACAAAAACTCCGGGGTACACACAGAAAACCGCCGAAATCAACATCAACGGAACAACCAAGGAGCCTGCTCATCGGCTGCGGCTCTGACACGGCCTTTTTTCGAGCCAAGGTTTATCTAAATCAAGTTCTTTTTATGTGCCAAGGTCGCCGGATAGCCTCCGGGGCCGTTCTGATGTGGGCCGGGTTCGGCGCATGGACATCAAGATGCCCAATGACACGGCTGAGGACACCCAACAAATAGATAATCAGCCAGTGAGCCAACGCTGGATAGATGGTGGTCAGTGTGTTGTGCTGATAACGGATAATGGACGCCCTTATATTATACTATAAATGTACAGCTGTACAACTATGCCTCTCAGACAAGTGCTACAAGAGATCATCTCTTGGGTTAAAATCTTTGCAACAGGCCCTCCACTGTCGAATCGATACCTCCCTTGCACTGCCCTATATTCGCGCTGCATCCCATGTAATATACCCCCAGGGGTGCAGTGGATATTTCGCATACCACCCAAACAGGTCACTGTAGATTCCGCGTCATATTATTGTCCAGGCTAGCAGTGGATGTTCCTCATGGTCACCGTGAAAGGCAATAAATTGTGTCTTCCTTGCTTCAAATCCCTATCTGAGAAGTATTAATCACGCAGTATGATCTGTGTTTTATCAAGGATTACCTTAATAAAATCACTTCGTGGTCGTGAAATCTGCTCTTGCATTGTTGAAACTAGGAGTGTGGTCTTTGATTTTGGAAATTATATTGTGCAGCGGCTCAAGACCACGGGAGGTTGTTCCTTCTAGAAGGAAACCCCTTCTACTACCGTTCAATCAAGTGGTTAACCAATGTACTCGGATAGCAAATGAAACCATTGATGCATGTAGAGAACTTACTTTCACTACTGAACCTAAACGCCCCTCTAGGGGTGAACGGCCGCTCTTGGTTTCAAAATACCGGATTCTCTAGGTGTACGTCACGGTAGGTGGCATTGAAGACTTGATTCAATTTTGCTCTGACAAAGGGATAGATGCAAGCAATCTTTTCAACCTGCCAGGGCTTGTAATTTCCCATGAATACTGTCAAGATGTTCTCGTCCTAAAATCCAAATAACCTGTCATTAAGGTGAGTTTTATGGCGACTGACACCAAAAGAATCACAGTGGAGCTGGAAGTGATACAGAGCACGCACCATCTGTATCTCTTTTGTCCTGGTCAGAGACTTGCTCTGTGGTCCTTTGGTCTCCTTAGTGAATTTATCCAGCTTCTAATCAGAATGGTACGGGGTGAGAGGTTTGATGATCGAGGGATGAATGACAATCGATATGGGTTGATCCAAGGTAAGCGACTTCAGCAAGAAATAGTATTGGGCCTGAGAGTGGTGATCCTGATAGGACCCAAGAAATTGATTGATTTTCTCTCATTACGCATTGCCAAAAAGTCAACCAAACCAGACCGATAGAATGCATCAGCATCAATAGTGCCGTTACCCAAACTTGTCTTGAAGCATTCATGGAGGAGATGCTGATGACCTAGCAGATACTGCTGATGATAGATGGGGGACGCACAGAACAGAGTTTTTAGTCCTTCATATTCCAGGCTGGAAAGGGTGTGACGCTGTATTTCAGTTAGAGGGTTTTCTAGTATATTATTGTGACTTGTCTGGGACTCTTTTAGCACAGGCTCTGGCACAAGATACTCTGAGTCGGAATGACATGGGAAGTTGCTGTACATGTCTTGGAAGGTTGCTTAAGCCAATGCCCTAACGGTTTGCGGTCTCTTTTTATGCAAGCCCTGAGTCTTTCCATGACGAATCAAGCGAGAGCAAGATGAATGAGTGACGGTTCTTATCACGAAGCGTGCTCGCTAGCTAGTTGTATAGCCAGACAGCCCTACACAAGCACTCTGCCCGTCATATAATCTGCCTCCGGGATGCTCCACCGACGTTGAATAGCAACTACTGCAGTGGATTTCGAAAACAGATTACCCCAAACGCTCACTATTTGGTTCTCGGCCCGTACCCGGAATCGCCCTAATCCGTATTAGGTTACTTCTACTTAAAAGCAACTTCTGCTTAGCCGTATCGCGACGTAGAACGTATTGGGTTTCAATGTCCAATGTTGGGATATGGTCTTCTCTTCAACGCTATAGCTTTGATCAAATGCCAATCTTTCCAATTCTCACAAGACGAATGCCCTCGCTGCAGTGTACAGGATTCTGGACTAGATGGTCATGGCGACGGGTATTGGTTCATCCATGACAGGTCTGGTTGAAAGACCGTCTGTGAGTCTAAAGATTGTGCCACTCCGTACTTTAATGAGCAGCTCGGCATATCCGACCTAGGCAAGTTATCTACCAGGAATGACTTGACCACTGCTACTTAAATCCATGCGTCTTGGAATTTACCTTCACGTCTTTTGAATCTGAGCAGATGGTTTCCAAGGAACTTCAAGCCTGTATTGGCTGGGAAAGGCACCCAAACCAAAAGTCTGCAGTAGTATGTATGTCCATGGTGACAAAGACCAGCTTCAGAATGGAGGAGCCGATCCACGAAGGCATGAAACCTGTCCTAACCGCGAACAGGGCAAGACCGATTGCGAATTTCGCACTATCATGTCGAATTTGCATTAGGTCCTTGGGCCAATTCCAGCTAGGCCATTGAGGCACCAGAACACCAAGCGTCAAATAACGCCATTAGTGGATACTGTCACCCACATGACATGCGAGACACACTCGTCTTTAAAGTTAATTATCGGCCTTTTGCCCTTGTGTCGATGTTTTGAAAGAGTCGGAAATTCTATTCTAGGTCCTCTCGTTCTTCAAAAGGCGACAATTGGCACGGTCGCATACGTACAATTCCGAGAAACAGTGCCACTTGCGCTCAGAATGGGTGTGTGCTGGTTCTTAGCTCTATGTACTGGCTCTTTTTGGATTTTTCTAACTTTCACAACCTAGCTGCAACGAATTCTGATAATGGGAATAGCCCTGGGGTGGTCTCACAGTCGTCTCCCGGCGTGACGGACGATTCCAAATATTTCCAGAAAATGGAGCGAGAAGTGACTTCAGACTCTCAATATCCGCTTCCCACTGAAGAGGAAACCAAAACGCTTCGCAAGGTCGCGGGCTCCCTGCCTTTAGTCTCGTTCACTTTATGTCTGGTGGAGTTTGCTGAGCGCGCATCCTACTACGGTGCTAAGACCGTCTTCAGCAACTTCATTCAATTCAAACTCCCCGAGGGTATGTATCTCTCAAACGGCGTGGTTAGGAAATCTACTAACGCGACTGAAGGTGGTAACGGAGCGGGTGCTCCCCCGCGAGGCACTCAGAAAACAGCTGGCGCCTTAGGGATGGGCCTCCAAGCGTCATCCGGACTGACACTGCTGTTTCTCTTTCTTTCATACGTGATCCCTATATTTGGTGGCTGGTGGGCCGACGTTCATATCGGTCGATATAAGGCAATCTGTGTGGGCGTCCTGATCTGTGGAGTTGCCCATATCATCCAAGTCATCGGCGCCATCCCCTCAGTTCTCCAGAAGGGCACAGCTAACGCGGCTGCGCCATTCATCATTGGGCTGCTGCTTCTGTCCTTTGGTGCGGGTATATTCAAGCCTAACGTTTCACCTCTCATCCTCGATCAAACTCCCCACAAGAAAGCCTACACGAAAACGCTGGAGTCGGGAGAAAGGGTCATCGTGGATCCCGAAGCCACGACAAGCAGAATCATGCTCCTCTTTTACGGCTTTGTGAATGTCGGTGCTTTCTTTATGCTTGCAACTACATACTCTGAAAAGTATGTGGGATTCTGGCTCTCTTTTTTGCTGGCAGGTATTATCTATCTCTTGCTCCCTATTCTCCTTCTGGTTATGTACAAGAAGACATACAAAAGGCCGCCGGCTGGGAGCTCAGAGGTCTCGCGGGCTTTCAAAATTATTGGGACTGCTCTTCGTCAGAACAATTTTCAGTTCTGGCGTAAGGGTTTCTGGGATAGGGTGACACCCGCCAGCCTCCTGAAGAAGGGTATCACCGTGGGCTGGACAGATAAAAACGTCAAGGATGTTTCCAGAACAGTGGGTATGTTAAATTCATTCTTGATATATAACTCCTTCCCTCTGCTTTATGCTATTCAGGATCTTGCGATGTTCTGATGCACTTTAGCTGCCTGCGATATCTTCTGGTTCTACCCGATCTACAACCTCAACGATGGCGGTATCGGATCTGTATCGACGAACCAAGGCGCGTCAATGGTCACCAATGGCGCACCTAATGATGTTCTTAGTAATTTCAACGCGTTGACAATCATCTTTGTCATTCCTATCCTCACCTTCGTGATCTACCCCACGCTACGTCGCTACAAGATCAACTTCGGTCCAATTACCCGCATCACATTCGGCTTTGTCCTAGCGACCCTCGCTGGTCTCGTGGGTGCGCTAGTCCAGTGGCGAGTCTACTCGCTCTCACCTTGCGGTAGTCAAGCGTCGACTTGTGATGATGTGGCCCCGATTAGTATCTGGTGGCAGCTTGCTAATACTATTCTGAGTGCTTTGAGTGAATGTTTCTCCAATGTTACCGCCTATGAGCTCGCTTATGCACGTTCCCCACATGGCATGAAGGGTCTGGTGGTGGCCTTCTTTCTCTTTATGAATGCCTTGTCGAGTGCGATTGGTGAGATTTTGCTTCCAGCGACTGCTGATCCGTGGCTGATCTGGATCTGGGGTGCACCGGCTGTGGCGCTTGCTTTGCAGACGATTGTTTTCTGGTTCAGATTCAGACATCTGAATAATGAAAACTGGACAGAAGAAGAAGAAGAGACTACCACTACTCTGGCTCAGGAGCAACAAAAGGTTTGATTCAATCGCACCACCGATGTCAGAAATCGATACGGGGAATAGAAGAGTGCTTCAAAGTCTGACCCATGCTCTGAGCTACTCTAGTCTGGGGTGAATGTAATATAATTCATATCTTTATCCTACCATAGCCTCGACTATATCAAAATATGTACATTTCTTGAAGGTCAAGGAATTAAGTCCTAAGCCTAAGGCCAACTTCTAATAGTCTTTTATAACCTTCCTCTGGCCATGTGGACGGGAGGGAGCATGCGCTTCATTTACAATCTTCCTTGTGCATGATTTCACCAATATGATTGCCTCGAGAATAAGAGGCTAATGTCATTAACTTCATTGAAAACACCTTGTCCGATGCATCAGATCTACTTTGATTTTGAATTTCCAGGAAGACTTTTCTGCTCTGTCACTATGCTTGTACAATATATGTATGTTTCAGTATCTGAGGATACTTCTTTGGAATCGTTCCCGTCCTGGAGCCGATGATACAATCTAATGGAATATAATATAGACCGCGGCAACTCCCATGGGACTAAAATATTGTTTCGTCCCATTTCCCATTGGGAATTTCAATACTCCCACCAAGGCCAATTTTTGTGCGTAACTAATTCAAATAGGATGGATAATTTGCTGAGTGATCATCTTAAAATACCATTCTTTACGGCTGTTCTGGTCATGATGATTAGTTCTGATGGTATTTGGCAATTCGGAAGGTGAAATCAAGAGAAATATGCCTGCATCTTGATGTGTTTGACATATTACGTGCTTAACTTCATGTAAATGCGATAAAAAATATATTGGTAGATCATTAGTGGGGTTTTGGCAACATCCCTAATGTGCTGGTGGGAATATATATCTTCTACTATGCGGAGTAAATGTGGGTGACGACGAAAAGGACACGATTGTGCGTGGCTTTTGGTGCAAAAATTGTGGTCTTTTCGCAGAGTAGATTGGAAAAAGTTGGCTATACCTAATTTGGCTCTAGCGTCTGAGGGCTCATGGTCTACACCTAAACTAAGAAATCAGACAGCGCGTACATCATGAGTTTTAGAAAGACAATAAATAGCCATCCAATCTCCAAGCTGAGCATCCTGAGTAAGTCTCCATCAAAACCATAATTCTTCTCAGACTTATCCTGTTTCGCAATGCCTCGGGGTGTAGCAAAACAAGCAGTTACTGTTGACTGGAATGCTTTTGTACATGAAAGTGACCCTGAGGTTAACTCTGGTTATACAGAAGCAACAAAAACACAGATTGGGCTTGTGAAGACCAGTTTCCAGAATTATGTTGCCTTAGCATGTTGAGACCTTTTGCTCACTTATAGAGAGTTAGATTTACGTCGCATCTTCAGCCAGGAGACTATAAATATTGGCTTGGGAACATCACGCTAAGAGTCATAGAGGGTTTTCTCCGGTGGTATCTCGATACCCACAATGTTGAGTATCAATCAGGATTCTTGGTCTTTGCTCGATTTTGGAGGATATTCTGGTGTGAGGAAATGGACAGGCTTTTTAACTATGACCTGAGACGTCGAATGACCAAGGCAAGGTAAACCAATGCTAGTAGAAGGGACCAGGGTAGACCTCGCCCTGACCCTCAAGAGGGTCCCTACTTTGGACCCTCCACCCGACCCTCGCGAGGGGCGGGTAAAACACTCGCAACCCTCACCCGACCCTCGACCCTCGCCGAACCCCGTGTGGGTGACCCTCACAGACCCTTATCAACCCTCATTTGCATAAAATTTCCGCACTTTACTCAATTTGAAATGCATAAAATTGATGATTAATCTCAATACAGAACTGTTATTTACACAGTAATGTTTTACGCCTGTTCTAGTACTCTGGATGATAGGCATTGTATAAGCCCTAAAATCAATTTACAATTGAATTTATATGAAATCTTTTGGAATTATTTACTTTTGATGAACTCCTCCAAGATTATATTAATTATAAGTGATGATATGTATCATTATATAGTTAATGTAGGTTATTCCTTCGATACAGGCTAACGTAGGTGCATAGCGAATGACGCAGCATAGCGGACGACGCACCTAACCACCACCATGATATTGTTCACGACCGTAATTTGCCACAACACAGATAATCAATTAAGTCTAGTCAGAATTATACCCATCAAATACCTCTTCATCTTCTTGACAGGTGCGTGTATTATGTCCAGGCTTGCCACAGCTACCACAACATCATTTTCTTAATTTCACATGCTTCAAACTATCATCCTTCATATGGATTTCCTCAGCTAGCTGGCGATCTATATCTCCTTGATCCAGTATACCTTTGCCAGACTGCAGACTTAGAATTCCTCCATGCTGTATACATGTTGTCTTTCCCTTCCGGCGCTTGCTTAATGTACGATTTGCATCTTCAAGTGTTGTAACTTGGTCCTTGAGGAGAGCCACTGAGTGCATAACTGACTTTGCACTCTTCACAATATGGTCTATAGCACCATAAATTGAGGTTGGTGAACTATTTTGGTGATTGGTGATTCTGGATTTAATATACTCAGATTGCGAAGTGGCCTCGACTGGGTTTTGTGGTGTCCTAGAAATCCAAGGGGTCCATAATCGCAGGAGGTGGTCCAGTAGGTGTTGGTGTGTGTAACTTGACATCTAGCTTAGAAATCACAGTATCTGGGTTATATGGGACTAAACCTGACCCTCGAAAACCTGACTGTATATTTCTTTCACTAAACGAGGCAAAGAATGCGGCCTTAAATGCCTCAAAGAACTCAACCTTAGTGATATGGGTGATATGCCCCTGGATCAAGTTCTCAGTCTCCTTGCTATACGCACGCTTTAGTGGACTGAAACATCCAATATCAAGTGGTTGGAGCAAATGAGATGAATGAGCAGGCATGCAAAAAGTCACAATATTATTCTCTTTGCAGTAGTGCTCGAAACCAGCTGAGTGGTGGCTCTCATGCCCATCTAGCACCAATAGACATTTTGCACCTGTTGTACGATGTCGACTATATTTGTCAAAGTGTTTTATCCATTCCAGGCCAAGCTCATTTGTAGTCCATCCATTGTCACTGACTCCAATGACCCAATTAGATGGCAGGGAGCTATCATGATACCAAGTTGAGAGATGACATTGCCCAGCAACAATGATAAAAGGTGGTATTATTGAGCCTTGAGAATTCACCCCCTGGATGACTGTTGCCCATTCTCAATTGCCAGGCTGCATCATCTTTGCTTTTCCACAACCATCTGAGGTTGTTATACCCATTGCAGACGAGATTACTCCCATCATAAAACCAGTCTCATCAAAGTTCCAGATATCTGACTCCAGTATGCTGTACTTGGCCACCATATTTTGAATGAGCTGAAACTAATCCATAATTATAGCTGGATCTTCGCACTTGGCTCTCTGGTAGTCGTACTTACGCGTAAAACACATCTGGAGCTGTGGTTGTTGCTTAACAAAGTTGGAAGCCCAGTGTGGTCCAACACATGGCATGTCGCGTTCAGTAAGCAGTCAGTTGGCCATATCTTCAACACCATGAAGCTGGGGAGGGAATGCTTGTGAATCCAAGTCTATTATCTCTTGAATAAGCACTGATTCTTCTAAGTCAGTTAATTTTCATGAATTGGCTGGCAAAGCGCGTCGAGATTGTCGGCCTTTGAGTTGTGCATATAAGGTTGCTTCACTGACATTGCAGATCTTGGCAATAGATTGTACACTTTGTTGATTACCATTTTTGAATGTCTGGAGGGCAAAGAATAATCGGTTTTCTCTGCTAGTAGATTCCATGGTTGTACGTGGAGAAATTATACAAAGAACTTCGGTGTGGTGACTTAAGTTGGATTGTGCGGCATTTGCTATGCTGCGTCGTTCGCTATGCACCTATGTTACCGGAAATGTTGAAGGGCTAAATCAAGAAAAGTTTTGATGGCACGGTCTCCCTGGACCTCTACAAACCCGATCGTCAGTTTACCCACCATGTCGCCGTGGGTAGTCAGGGCTCACCTACATTTGTGCCTCAACGATTGAATGCCAACATCGGTGATCAGATTGTTTTCGAGTTCCACGGGTTGAACCATACTTTAACACAATCTACCCTGGAAAGGCCGTGTGCCCCACTTCAGCAGTTTGACACCGGTTTTAATCAGTTCAACCCACACAGCCGGGATAAATTTGTCACTATTATTACAGTTAATTCACTTGAGCCTCAGTGGTTTTTCTGTCGGCAGAATATACCCGCCTCTCATTGTCATATGGGCATGGTGTTCGCTATTAACCCAGGAGATCAAATGGATACGTTCATCCGGAACGTGCGAAGAGAAAGCCCTGGTGATACAAGCAGTATCGCCAGTATGGGCTCTAGGAATGTCAGGTCCTCCAAGCCTGTCCTTCGCAGCACCAGCAGCAGTCAATCCAGATCGATCAGTCCTATGATTTCCCCGACGGATACCAGATTCACTAGTGTCTCAGGATCCATTCCAAACAGGCCTGTTGCTTCTACTGATGTTGTATCTGCCAATCCTACAAGTTTGTTTAGTCCAGTCCAGCATTCCAGCTTCAGCAAAAGTACGCAAAACCTTCATTTTGTCACCCCCACTAGTTTACCCTCCATGGATCATGTCACTGTGACTCAAACAGAGACGCAGAACTGTCCACTTCCTTCTGTTGTGGAAAGGTTCAGTGCGGGTCACAGTCCAACGCCCTCAAAAAAACTATGCATCTTTCCGGCGTACCGTCTCCAGATCCAGCATGACATCAGAAGGAACTAGTTCTGCAATTGTTCCAAACTTCATTGCTCCGGCTTTTTGCATCTTGTTGATTGCAGCTTTCCTCTGATCCTATTTCCTTTCTTTTCTCGTTTCTTGAAGGATATTTCATATGAATTGTATCTACGATTAGCTGGCTAATCAATTATTTAAGGCTCACTCGCCGTAAAGTTCAATATAATCTACAATCCCTTGTAATGGTAATTCCATGTTTCGTAGAGTGTGTCTGGAGATGTTAAACGCCACAAAAGGAAACACATTACATAGTCTTAGGTCGCGGCTTTAGAGAAGCGCAAAAGAAATATATATAAGTGTTCTTAAGAGGATGGCGTCAAGACTAAAAAGGGTGCGGGGTTAAGCGCTAGGCCGTACTATAAAGGCGTAGATTAATGCTGAAGCTAGAGTATTTCAGGTGGTATATGAGGCACCTTAAGTAAGGGCGAACATCTACTCTACTAGAAAATGCATAAACTTAGATATCATTGGCACCTCTTAGTTTATGTCACCGCCATCACCCTCGCTGTATATGCTTAGAACCCTTCAAAACATATAGCACAATATAGATAGGTAAAATAGCTGCATGGGACTCTCTAATTGACAATTCGAACCAAGGAATAATGACCAATTCCCCTCTCCTAGGGCTTCAAATCCCAAGCCCAAAGTCGCAGTCGCTCCTCACCCTTAAGCAGGGAAACACTCAAACTGAACCATACAAGCATTTTGGAACCCAGTTCCAATACCATACCAACCAATATCAACGTCGTCGGGGTCCTCGCCCTCAATATGAGTAGCTGCTCCAGAAGCGCCATGGCATTCTCTAAATTACATATTGTGTTAGCACAGGTGACCAACTCTAGAAATCTATCAAGGGCGAAAGGTAGTTTTTTAAATTCACATACTTAATCTTGCCGGGAGCCGCGCAGCTAGCGCCCCATGAGAAATCATCTTTCATGCCCATAGCTCCGGCAGTCGCAGTATACAGATCAGTGCAGAGACCTGTACCCCACTCTGGAGTCTCGACCAGGTAGATCTCGTCTCCATTTTCATTGTAGATTTGGAGCCTGTCGAATGTACTTCCGGGGCTCGACCTTGGGCCGCCGCCTACATTCACGAAGTGCGATCCGACCGCGAGACACCATTCGGCCATGGCGGCTGGGAGGGAGGCTGCGAGGAAAGCAGCAGGGACGAGCTTGGAGAAGTGCATATTGTATTGATAGGTTGATGGAAGTAAATTGAATGAGTTGAATAAATTGGATGGTGATGGTAAAAAAATCAACAGAAAGGGAAGGCCTTTAAATAGGTTTCTGTCAACCCTTCAAGGCTCACTTCAGTGTACTCGAGTTTCCTTACTTAGTATATGTATACAAGTGTCGCCAAGCGAAGAGCGGCCATGATGCCTTCTTGGCATTAGTGATTGTTCTTGGCCTTTATCCACCGACACCGGAGGGCTTGGCAGTATCCATGCCTCAGTGATTGTTCCTGAGCATATTATTTGATATAGGGTCTTGGGGAAGTATTCTTTAGGAAATATCTCTTTCGGCTTCCTTCTGCGAAGTGGGCCCTTGAAGGATTTCTCTGGGGCTGAAGGCTCGGCACTGACGACTGAGGCTACAAAGCTCAGGCATGAGAGGGGCTTAAGCAGGCAGAATCGAAGTGTCAATCTCTCTAAAACTGCTTCCATCGACTAAAAGTAGAATGATAACCGCAACTCTAATCCTATATAAGGAACTCGCATCGCCACGCTCGACCAACATCCTGTGCCAAGTTGGCCCTCAACATTGGTGTCGATTGCACATCATTACCAGTCAAGTAGCCGAGCAGTAGTCGGCGGGTGTTTTTTCCGCAGATTTAGCCCCCATATCCAACTGTCAACGCACTGGACAATATGTACAATAAGTCAGAGTCCACATGGTGAAGGCCCAGCGGTCGAACAAACTGAAGATAATCATTCCCCAGAACAGAGTGAGCAACGCCCCTTTATTCCTGCTACAGATACATCCTGTTACAGACCTAGGCTGCGGCATATCGTACGACTTGGATGTGGTCACCACATCCAAGTCCGCAAATTGCGGATGTTGGATATCATCCCGATATCGAAGTCCAATTGCGGATATCCATTGGATATCCAACAGTATATGTTGGATACCCAACAAATATCCGCACTAGCATAAAATTCGCTAATTTACCCTATTCCAGACTATCAGGTGACAGTTATGAAGCTGACAAATCCCTGTTTTAAAACCGAACGTATTCATGTTTTGGTTATGACAATACTATTCTGCACTTTCCCCTACGTACTATATGAAATAATAAGAAATGATCTTGTATTTATCATCAAATACCATTAAAATGATAGATTTGGCATGGATTGTAGAGTAAATAAGGCATGGTTGCGAGTAATTCTATGATTGTTGGTTGATTCACACAGTCAGGGTGGAAATATATATTTAACATAGTGTGAGCTAAGTACATTTTCTAGCAAAGGACTACAGTATAACATTAATCTATGAAATTTTGTTGAATTCCATTTAAAATTGCACAGGAAGATAGAGAAAAGCATCATAAAGCTATATATAACCTTAAATTAACATGTCCGTATATAAAAGTAGAGAGAAAACTACACTCAAAAACCAGATTTGACGGACTTAATGGTGTTCATTTTAATTTTCATGATTGACGGATTTTGCTGATATCTGTTGGATATCCAACAGACTATCCACTAAATATCCACTTCTGCCCGAAAATACCCAATTAGTGTCTGGTATTATTTATCCAACACATCAAAGTCGTGTTCATGGCTCCATTTGCCTATATCTCTGATATTTTCAGTTCTGATATTTGTGAGTCTCACTCTGAATCTACAGTCATTACTCCCTTCTTATTCTTCATTAATCATGTCGCAATCGCAAGCATCTGGTAGTCAATATGAAGCATCCCACTATGCGGATTCCTTCATTGATCCAGAACTACTTCAATCTGATGATTTCACTGACGCGCTTGGTAGTGAAACACCATCCTCGACTCGCTTTTCAGACTTTCCTATCCCCCCTCAGTATCATCACGCACCGGACTCACTAGAGCGTGTTGGCAAACCCTTTCAACAGCACTATATTCTCTATAATAGTGATTCAACCAATCCGAAGATGGGCGAATCCAGAAGAGAATTTGTGGAATGGTGGTTGAAGACAGAG